TTCTTTTGGTAGACAGGCACGGCAAGTACCAGGTAGGATAGGAGCGGGGGTGGGGCAATCGATAAGACGGATACATTCACTAAAATCTGACACTAGCGACGTATAGAAATAGAGTTGGTTCTTGGTGCAAGCTTCTGATATGACATCTAACAAGCAACAGCACAAAGAAACCTCTTGCCTAACATGCAATGCTAACGCGACGTCTTCAAGAAACCAAATATCCATGCTATGCATACCAGTCATCCTATATCCAGCCTGCCGTTTCGTGTCGTCCCAATAATGCTTTCCCAGTTCATTCACCCCATTACCGTACTGCAGTACCCAATACCCTTTTTTCCAGCCGAGTTGTCTCTCCCCACTAGGAAATCGTACCTAAATACTATCCTCCATCTGAGACAATGGTCACCACCCACATTGTATGTTTACGGCTCTCCAAACATGTCTGCCACTCCTGCCAGACCTGGGGAAGTTCCTCTGACTATAGTTGGTTGCTGATCTACACTCATGTACTGTTCCATCATGGCCGTCCTAGGCTTGGCCTTTGGTCTCTGGATCTTGCCTTGCTCATGAATACTGACACCTTTGATACTACTCAAAAGATCGAGCACGATGCTGCGTTGCATACGTTCGTCAGAACTGTTGGCGTTGCGGAGCTTTGCAAGTCGGCGATCGACACGGTATTGGTCACCCATGCCAGGTAAGGACAGGATGATCGAGCGTGGTATGTCTTCATCCAGGTGAATGATGCCGGCGATGAGGGAAGCAAGCTCTTTTTGACAATCCACAAAGTAGGGCTCGTGGAGGGATGTGATAGCTGACTTGAGTATGTCGTTGCAAAAGTAATCGCGGATGGGGGATTTTTCTTTAAACTGTAGAAGCAGAGTACGCATCACACGGACGATGGTGACCACGGACCTGGTATCTCGAACACGGATAGTTGAGTTGCAGAAGAGGAGGATGGGCTCGAGGACTGCGGGCGTTGCGAGAATAAAGTCGCACATGGGCGGTGCGTTGGCTTCTTTCCGACCGTGCTCATCGTGACGGGCGAATTCTACGATAGGGTTAGCTATTTCTTCTTATACAACTATGATCCAAAGATGCGGTGCTAAAATCGTATTCGACCCGCCCAAAGCACTCACGTTGAAAGCACCACCTGCGTTCACGAGCAATGAATGACTTACCCTGTCTCGAATCGAGCAGGACAGCGACAAGCGAGACAGACGAATAGGTGAGCTGACGTAGTATGCTCTCCGTCTTCATCTCGTCCGTCAAGTTGTCATTGTCCCCTGACTCCGCCACTTGTCGGGCAACCTCATCCCACTCTCCAGATATCTTTCGATCGAGCTCTCTGAACAGCCCTTGTATCATTGGTGGCAGGAAGTGTGGCCGTAACCGCGCTGGGCAACCTTCGATGAGATGGGTAGATACTGTCAGCAGAACGGATAGATGGTGTGCTGTCAAAGCTCCAGCATGACCGAATAGTGCTTGACTCAGCGGTCCTGGCAGGTCTTGTATGCCATAGAAGAAGTCTCGGAACCGTGTCAGTGAGTACAGAATGTAGTAGGAGCTCTCCCTAATCTGCCGTACAGTGCCCCGTACTGTCGATGCGAAACCCTCATACGTCGACTTGGAGCCACTGACTCTGGCAAAGAAATCATCTCTGCTCTCTGTCGATATACCCGCTTGCCAGAACCGATCTGTCAATACTCTTCGAATAACCTGCTGTAATTCTACCGGTAAGTGTGACCAATTGCTTTCAATATCGTTGAATGCTTGCGCATGGCTCACAAGCTGAAGAAGATTGGGAAGCAGCACCGGTATAGTTTCAGCCCATAGTACCGCAGCGGTCTCATACGCAGCAGTACCATCGCGAAGCTTCTCCGTCGACGCTGCCAGTAGCGTCTTAGTGAGTCGCAGTGGCAGATGTTGGGAACGCTCAAGTATCGAAGCCTGCAATGCTTGGCCATCACTAGGCAGTTGTTGATCAGACCAGTCCTGAACGCCACGGAAGTTGTTCGCAGATAGAAACTCGGGTAATTGACCCATGCCCAACACGCCGCAGAAAGATTGGAATGAAGAGATAGCGTTGGTGAACTCATCGTTGCGCCAAGCATCCTTGACGCTGTTGAGCATCTGCCTCATGCGCTCTTCTTGTGTGGCACGCTCTAAAGTTGTACATCTATGTATGATGATGAAAAGGAAAGCGGAGTACGCCATACGCTGGCGTTCGTCAGTCGTTGGGTCATTAATCATCTCATTGACCTTGGCCTCTAGTTGCTCGTAGACGTTCATAAAATCGTCAGCAAACTTCATCGCTAGTTTTTGCATCTCGAGACTGCATATGCGCTCGAGATCTTTGACAGAATCGGAGTACTGTGGGTAGCTCGTGTCATCGGCTAACCGTATTGTAAGCATGTACTCCAGGAAAGTAAGGGCGAAACCGGGCCGGTCGCCCAGAGCTTTTGTTGAGAGTGTTGCCATCAAGGAAATTATCTTCCTTGCGACTTCAGGGTCTTCAAACTGAGCTCGCAGAATCTGCCTGCCCCACTGTTCGAGTGAATCTTCTAGGGTGTTGCGCGTCCGTTCACTGTCTTGCGCATCTTCGCCCTGCCCTTGCTGCCACTTCATGTATCCTTTGAGTGCGGCTTCGATGACAGTGACCTGCGCATCGACCTGAAGAACTTGTGGAGAATTCTTAGTGAAGGTTTGGCGTTGGAAAGTGGGCTGGCCATTGTACAGGTTCTGGAGCATGTTTGTTGCCTGAGCAAGGATATGCTCCATTGCCTCAACAGGCGTCTTGCGAACCAAGACTTCGATCACATCTGCGCAAAACCTGCGGTAGTTACCCAGAAAGGCATGGCGCTCAGGGATTGTATCAATATCTTCGTTGAGAAACTGCAATGTGACGTCTTCAGTATCTTCCGGCAACGATTCGTATCGGATAAGTCGAGCGCAACATGTCTCAAGTAATCCTCCGACCATGGAGTTGACGACATCAGAGTCTCGCACAATGCTCGATCGTAGCAACTTAGTCCAACAATGAAGGACAGGTATGGAGACGACAAGACTCGGGTTGCGCATAATGTCGTATAGGAAACCGAATATGCCCGCTAGGTCGCTGCCATCGGGTATCGACTGGGGTTTTTGTTCGATGAAGAGTCCAAGACTATTTGCCAACTACCATCATTAGCAAACATTGCGAATGGGAAGAGCAGCTGGAGTCGTACTTCTGAAAGTCTCTTGCAGAGCATATATTTCTGGTCATCTATATCATTCACATCCATGTCCGTGAGTGTCCAATTGTATACTTCTCGCAGGAGTGAAACACTGCCAGGTGTGAACATGGGGCATACAAGCTCTACAAACTCGTCGTCGTGTAGGTGGGTTCGGTTATAGATGGCTTGGAGAGTCTCGACGGCGGCCTGTTTGTGTCAGCAGCTGTGCATGTTGTGGGTAGCTAGAGGCGACTTACGATTTGCATCTCCACGGCTGGGGTAGCCAGCGCCTTACAGACGGCCTCGATGACTTGTGTCGCAGCAATGGCCTTGGGCATAATCCATGGCATAGCCGCCTTAAGCGCATGCATAGTCTTGATCGCGTTCGCTTTAACAGCCTCTTGATTCTGGTAATCCTGTCCCAAGCACCATCCCAAATTATCGCATAGCCTTCTCAGCCACCCTTCGTCCCCACACCGCACTTCAAGACTCTTCTCACGTGTAGGGAGTTGTTCTTGTATTACAGAGAGCGGTGTGAAAATCTCGACACATGCTCGTCCCAAGTCGCTTCCTCGGAGGCCTGCTGTAGCGTCTTCACGGTTGAAAACCTCCTCAGAAAGCGTTTCCAAGATGTATAAGACCACAGCCTGGTGGTGCAGCGAAGTCGACCACAGTGAGACGAGCAGCCGATCCATATCCAGCCACTCTGCACCCCAGCTGCGCTTGGCAACCTCTGTCCACAGCTGCGCGATCTTGTTCCTAATGAAGACAGGCTCGCTTTCGGACACATTCTGTGCAAGGTCGATCGCATAGCCCCTCAACACAGTTCCCTGGTCCATTGTGAGATCTTCCCAGCTGTACTTCATCGAGTATTCCAGCATGGTAAGGCCATAGTAGCGGAGGGGCACGGGCTGCGAGCGGTCGAGAGCGAGCGTGTGGCCATGGGAAGGCGCTTCGGGGTGCCGTTTTGCTTGCTCGAGGTATTCGGTTGCCTGTCGGCGGGTATCATTGGTCGAGTCTTTTGCGTAGATGGCCTGCAGCGCCTCTAGTATTTGGGAGAGGTCCGAGTCTCTGTTGGCGCTGTGGTGTTGGTGTTGTGCTCCATCGCCGCCATTTGTTTGCGGGGCTTGGTCTGCGCCAGCATTCATCTTGAGACGGCTTCTCTAGCCTGGGCCCGGGGGACGTAGGGTCGGGTGAGTCTATTCGTGAGCTGCAGCGGGTATTGTGGAAATGGTGTGTGTTTGTTATTCCGAGTCTCAGATTATTTGGGCGGAGGTTGCTGAAAGCGGAAGACGTAGAGGACAAGGATCGTGGGTCGAGAAGCTTTGGCGCCGATGTCTGGACAAACCAAAGAAGATGGCGGTGTAGCGTGTAAGCCCAGATTCTTTGACTTGCTGGCCCGAGACGTGGTGCACTTTGTCCCAACGGTTCAAAAAGGCGATTGACGCTTATCTTCACGTCGCACGTTCCACGGACGCGTTTTGCAGGCTGCAGTCCCAAAGGCACGTCACGTCAACGCGATGTCAGCTGCTTTGCCGCCAGAACTAGGCTCGTCGCTTCTCAACTAGTCTTCATCGAATATCGCTATATACACGCTCAACACTACCGTAGATGCCCCAAAACGCCGTGACAAGATCAGAAAGTCGTACAACGCTCATGTTTACCCAAACGGATCATATGCACAAAAACTGCGCTGACTGCGTGACCTGAGCATCGGATGACATTGCATCACCGTGCGTTGGTCCGATTCCCCCACCACACCAAAACCCCAAGAAGCTCGAGACATTACATGACAACGCAAGTCTGCTTCTGGCACTGCTGAAGGTACCCTTCATCCTCTTCCGTGCCTAATGCGCTACCTGCCTTTCGCACAACGCCTTTGACCGTGATGAGTTGATCGCCTTCTGCATGCCACCACCGCAGCGTCTGCTGCAACGCACCATTTGTCTCTTCAGATGTGATGGTCCACTTGCCGCCGCTGACTTCGACGCTGGTTTGTCCCGATGGAAAGTGGAACTCAGGGAGGTAACAGATCGTAGGGAATTCTTCTGCTGTCGAGCTTGGCGCAGCAAGCGCAAGTTTGAATGTACAGTTCTTAAGATCAAACCCATATGATGAAATGTCTCCGTGAACTGCGACAGGAGTAGGGCGGATGAAAGCTTCTGCTGCGCGTAAACCACGAACATCGCCTTCGTCCTTCTTGGAACTCATTCGTTCTGGCGTAATGGTCTTCTGCAGGTTGGAAGGACTGATGCTCAGGGTGTCGGTCGATTGCGCCCTTGAGTAAGTAGGTGAATTGGTGTCTAGTGATGCACGAGAGTCGGCTGGCGAGAAGGCACCGGCTGGTACAGCTTTGTCGTCTACTGAGTAGATGGACAGGTCCTCACCGTTCCAAAGATCGCCCCAGTAATGGCAGTTCTTGTATATGTCAGCCAGGATTCAGCTTTGCACAGAACATAAACTTACATTTGCAACATATGTCCACAATGCGAAACCGTTAGCTTTACTGTCTTCAAGAGCGAAATGGTTCGCATCCAGCGCTGCTATCTGACTGCTGTAGTTGCCAGTCTTGTACGCGTATTTATCGTCCATGTCATATGGAATGCCGATCTCTGTGAAGATGCAAGGATGAACTCCCATGTACTCTGTACCCTCGTCGCGGATTGCCTTGAGCTGGTGCGAGAAGCAGTTCCTGATAGCATTCTCTCCAATCTTGATAGCGAACGCTGGCGTTAAATACTTGCCTCGCAGAACACCAAAAACGTCAACGTTCCATACGCGATTCCTGTACATGGTTAGATGAAATGTATCCGGGTTCGGTGTGATAGAACATACCATTTCTTAGTAATCAAAGTAATTCCATCGTAGAAATGCGGTGAGAAGATCATGTTAGGGTCGTCATCTTCTGTGCCCTTGACAGTTGGTGGTATCTCCAGTACTGGAGGCTGGAAGAACATCAGGGAGTCTGGGAATATCGACTTAACCATCTTACTGTACGCGCGGTAGTGCGGTAGCCAGTAGTGGTTCGTAAAGTACTCGTAATCAATCTTGGCTCCATTCTTAGGGTCAATTCCAAAGTAGTCCTTCTTCAGAACAGTATCAGTCGCTGGGTCCCAGACGCCGTGTTGCGCCCACAAGCACTCGCCCAACTTCCAGCCCGGATCGCGTTTCCAGCCGTATTTGGTGTCGTCGTAATCTTTTGATAGCCACGCTATTGTGCCTTCGGGATCTACCAATACCGAACCGCTCTTGTAGGGTCCCAAACCACCAAACTCCCAAGTCGCGATCTCGCAAGCTCTACCCGATCCGGTAAGTATCGCCTGCCAAGCAGTCGGTGAAGTACCCTTTTGTAGTTTCTGTTCGGTGGGGATCTGGGTGATATCCTGGTAGCTGATGAGGCCTCTGTTGGGCTCATTCATGCTTTCCCATCCGATGACTGGATCATGCCATAAGTCACCGGCTTGTTGTATCCGCTTGGCGAGATGCTCGCATGCTCCGATATAGTGCTCCTGCAGATAGTCCTGGATATTCTTGCCGTCCATGATAGCCTTCGGCGCAAAATCCCTGCCACCAAAAAAGAGTGTCCACATGACTTGATTTACTAATCGTGTGTAGTTGGTAGTCCAGATCATCTTAGGGAATGTGGCAGGATCGGGATATGTGTTGTGTACGAGGGCGGCTTCGGTAACGGCGAAGTGCTCGGGGTCCAGCCCGCAAGCATAGAGAGTCCACATGGGCGCACCAGAGCCTCCAGAGAATCGTGACCACTACGCGGTGTGTTAGAGAAATGGTAATTGAGTGTGCTAGAACGCTACCTACGACATCCTGGTGGGGATCCATGAAGATGTAGAAGCCATATTCTTTTGCCTTGCGCAGTAGACAGATGGTGTGATCTATCCAGTCCTCGTCGTACTTTCCTGGTCCCGCGTGCTCTATGGCTTCCCATGTGAAGACATAGCGAATGGTGTTGTAGCCCCAACTACGTAAACGCGAGAAGTGGGTGGCCGAGTCTTCTAGGGAAAATGGCCGATTGACGAAGGAAACGTTATCGCCGTCGAAGAAGTTGTCTGGTATGTGTGATGGTTGATCTGGCTTTGCAGGGAATTTGGCGTCTGCCGCGCAGTTGATGCCGTGCAGGGTGACTTCGCGGTTCTGAGGATCGCGGAATATGCGACCGTCGATGCGTAGTCGAATAGAAGACATGGCTGGCGAAGATGTTTGCGGGGAGTGAAAGAGAGTAAAAGGGAAAAGGTGCGCCAGGCGAGCGTGAAGGGGAGCTAGATATGAGGTATGCGTCTCTCTAGTCCTGATGGCGTAGCGGCGGCGGCGTTCACGGGCGCGTCATCATCCATGCCCCTGCCCGCATTAGCGTCTGGGGCTCCAATGTTCGGGTGGCCAGTGCGCCACCCCGGCTATCATGCGTCGCTGAGGACAAGTTGCAATTGTTTGAGTGAAAGACCAAATAAAGACACGACTCGCTCCTTCCATGAACTGACCGTCGCACTTGCCGCTGCCTCTCTGCGCGGACCCTTATACGTCCTCACCACCATCCAACCTACCGTCACTCATTCATAGCAACCTCAACGCCAATCCGCCATGATACTCCGACTCTCCTCCATTGCCCTCGGGCTGCTCCCGCTCGCAAGCGCACTCTCTGCCTCGGACATTCCCGCGGATACTCCCGTATCGCAGCTGATCAAGGATGCCGGTGTTCAACTTGCTACTGGCAACACCCAAGACGCTCTCCTCTACTTCGACGCTGCCATCACCCGCGATCCGCGCAACTACCTCACCTACTTTAGGCGCGGCGCCGCTTACCTGCAAATCGGAAGAACAGCACAGGCGCAGCATGACTTCGACAAGGTGCTGGAACTGAAGCCTGGCTTCGAGGGCGCACTGGTGCAGAGAGCCAAGATCAGAGCCAGAAAGGCCGACTGGGCTGCAGCACGGAAAGACTATGAAGCTGCCGGCAAGACGGATGAGATCGCTCAGCTGGAAGAAGCACAGGGCGCTGCTATCGTGGCACAAGAAGCGGCGGATAAGGGTGATTGGGATTCGTGCATTTCAAATGCAGGCACCGCCATTGTAGTCGCAGGTGGCGCATACGACATTCGCAAGACAAGAGCACGCTGTCGCTTCGAGAAGGGCGAGGTCGTTGAAGGCATCAGTGACTTACAACATCTCCTCCAAATCAACACCGGCGACATCGTACCCCATCTCCAGAGCTCCGCCATGGCTTTCTACTCGCTGGGTGAAACCGACAAGGGTCTCAAGCATATCGCACAATGTCTCCAATCGGATCCTGACTCGAAGGCTTGCATGAAGCTGCGCAGGAGAGAAAAGAACCTCGACAAGGATATCCAAAAGGTTCGCAAGTTCTTCGAGAAGCGCCAGTTCGCCACTGCCTCGAAACTCCTTATCGACCGCGGCGAAGAAGACCCCGGTCTACTGAAGGAGGTCAAGCAAGACTTCAAGGACTACACCGAACAAGGCTACATCTATGCCAACTCACCCAATGGTCTTTACCAAACCCTTGTAGAGATGACCTGTGAAGCCTACGTCGAGATGAACAACCTGAAGAAGGGCACACCATACTGTACCGAAGCCCTGCAACTCAACCCCAACTCGCTACATGGTCTTATCCACAAGGCCCAAGGCCAACTCGAAGCCGATGAATTCGAAGACTGTGTTCGTACACTAGACCATGCCAAAGAACACCACCAAAGCCAGAAGCTAGATGAGCTGCACAACAAAGCACATACACTGCTCAAGCGGTCGAAGACAAAGGACTACTACAAGGTTCTCGGCGTAACGCGTGATGCAGATGAACGCGAGATCAAGAAGGCATACCGCAAATTGAGCAAGGTCTACCACCCTGACAAGGCTTCAGCCAACAATATGACTCCTGAGGATGCGCAGAAGAAGATGGCTGCCGTCAACGAAGCCTACGAAGTCCTCTCCGATCCTGAACTGAAGGAACGTTTCGACCGCGGTGACGACCCCAACAACAACGAGCAGCAACAAGGCCATCCCTTCCAGGGCTCACCATTCGGAGGCCAGCAGTTCATGTTCAGGCAAGGTGGTGGTTTCCCTGGCGGCGGTGGTAGCTTCAAGTTCCAGCAGGGTGGCGGATTTCCCGGCGGCTTCCCTGGTGGTTTTGGTTTCTAGACGATTATTGCTTGAGTATACGAATTGGAGTTTAGGAGCACGCAAAGCGGTCAATCAGTCACAAGGGTAGAGTGTTCGGCGTTTTCAACTGTATGATATTGTTGCTTTGGTGGTAGTATTGAGTGATGAATTATGGTAGATAGTAAGTGAGAAGATACCTATTTCCTGTCAACCCACTTCCCTTCTTGCTTCTGTGCCATGCCCAACATTATGTCCTCCAATCCCAACTGCTCATGCTGCAAATTGCATCTGAGTAAATTATACTGTAAAGGTAGTCGCCATGTCCTACATGTATCTCGCTTAATGCAAGGTACACCAAGCAACCTTTAGCATCTGCCCGCACAACTCAAAACAAATGAGCTTCTTTACTTGGTCTAGCTATCAACACGGTATGAATCAGGATCCTCGACCCATGGTCTCTGTAAAACGCCGCTGGGTTTGCCTCGCTTCACAATGAGCTCGCGAACGAGATCGTTCACGAAATCAGAGCAGGTCTTCTCGATCAAATCCGAAAGCCCTGTCCATGTTGGTTTGGCACTGAACACCCAGAAGTCTACCATTAGACGTCGCGCTGGCGAACTGCTAGGCGTACCGGCGTAAATGATCTGTACCGCTTTTAGGCTGGGATACATCTTGTGGTCAATTGTTGAACGGATGATGGCAGCGATGATGGCATTCTTGAAGGCAGTATCCATCAGCTTTTCCCCCAGGGCGTATAATTAGCAAGGAGATTGAAGCGATCGACCTCCTTGTGACGTACAATCTTCCCGGTGTACAGCCATCCGCAATATGCCTCGAATATCGTGAGCTCCATGTCGGACATATCGATAGGCTTTGTAGCATCAGTGCGCCACTCTGGTTTCATTACGTTCTTGAGCAGTTCGGAGCTCTTAATCAAGACGGTGGTATGTACGCGCAACAGCGAAGTTTTGTTACAGCCAACCTGAATGGGCACGACATCGTCTCTCAGGCTGTGGTATCGTTAGTATTCGGTATGGAACACTGCCGTATCTGATCTACCTGGGCATCTCAAAGTCCTCGGGTGGCGCCACTAGAACAATTGCAGCAGTGCTGCAAGTGGTGGCTGTTGCTGTCGACATCTCGTTGGATATAGGGACGGTAAAGTCTGTGAACTGAAGAGAGTGGTAGATGGGAAAGCTTAGAGGAGTGCTCCCAGTTTCGCTCGCTAATAGATGCGCCTTCACCTGAATGATGCGAACTGTTTCTCGCCTAAGTGAAGGTGAACTGATAATATGTTAATTTTTTGATTGGCCATCCGGTAGTCTCATCTTAACATTGCATTTGCGTAGGTCTATCAAGCGCGTACACATCCCATTAACGGATGTCCTCAAGTACCCTCATCAGCATGTAGTTATTGAAAGCCTTGTCGCGCAGCTGAGTATGGTATACAGATGTGCCCCTTTCAAGCCTCCGAGATATCCATCTGGTCCCGACCTACAAGTTCAGAATTCATCTCGCCATCCTTCTGCTCCGCCACGTCGCTCTTGAGGACAGCAGCCTCGCGGTGATACGGGTGTGGCTGCAAGATCCATGGTTCGTTTTCGGGCAGAGGTGACGATAATCGTTTTTCTACTACCGCAAGAAACAAGTCGTTGAGAAAGGGCCTATAGGCATCCTCGAGAAGGTCCTTCTTAGCCTTCCAGGAAGAAATTATGTCGTGAGCCCAACTGTCAACAAGAAGACGTCTTGCAGCAGATCCCTCGGTCGTTCCATCGTAGATGATCTTGATAGTTCCCAGGCTTGGTACCTTGTTCTTTCGACCCATATCAGAGATTATGGCTTGTATGACTGCATTCTGGAATTCATGATCCACGATCTTCTCACCCAGGACGTACATGTACGCGAGACACTGGAGGATGCTTTTTTCTGGGAGGTCTGGGGCAATGTGACCAGAGTACAGCCATTGACAGTATCTCTTGAAGATGTGGGGCTGCTCGTCGGATAGATCAATTGGGCGAGACTCGGTCCTCCATTCTGGTTTTGTGGCATTCTTGAAGAACTCGGAACTGCTGCTAATGAGAAATTCGTGTACGTGAACGACTTCATTGCCAACCTGAACAGCGATGGTTTCACCGGAGAGGCTAGAAAATTAGCCATTGGAGCTTGAGGTAGGCATGTGCGCTCACTCACTCTGGTAGCTTGGGGGTAGGCGCGAGCGGCTTGGCTAAAGCTGGAGTCGCCATCCTGCTTCCTACTGCTGATTCGATTTGATATCGCTTGTATTCGGGTGACCTCCTTGAATATACCGACTCGTTGCAAGCGTTCGAGGATCGCAAAACCTGGTAGGCGGACCGCGTGGGCAGGGTAGGGACTCAGAAGTCGTGGATGAGTTACCACCTACGAAATTAAGGCTACGGCGAGATGAAATTGATACACGGACACTGTGTATCCAGTGAACTGACCACTAGGCTGCCACTGCTGCTCTGATGAGAGGTGAAAGTGAGTCTGTTGTTCGACCCAAGCAAGGAAGTCCCCCTCCTGACGGCATAGTCACAGGATTCAAAGCAAAGTGTATCCTCGATGAGATCCAGTTCGCATAACAGGAAATAAAGAGACGATAGCACGCGAAAATCTCACTTTAAAATACTAAATCGTTGAACATTACAGAATTATTCCATCCGGGTATATATGCTTTCGTAACTCATCGTTCTCTAACCACCTAACAGTATGACTCGTTTGTAACCTTGGTGATCACACCCTGGTTGATCAAGTCAATGTAGCTCCAGTACTCGCGCTGAGTACCCTCTCCATCCACCTTGGCGGTTGCGTAAGAGACTCCATTCCAGAAGGCGCCACCGGCCAAGTACTTGTTCCATGCGTAACGCTGAGTGTCGAAGATGGTCTTGCGGGTATCCAGAGTGTTGTTGTACATGGCCTGCAGGGACCATTCGCCGACGAAAACAGGAAACTTTGTCTCCTGAGCAATGTATTGGGCTTGGCCGCACACGGCAGGGTTGACGTAGCCGGCGTATGTGCCAGCGGCGGCGAAGTAGTAGACGTGAGAATCGAAGACAATGTTTTCAGATGCGTCGTAGAAGGGTGCCCAGTAACTGGCGCCCATGAAGCAATCTTGAATCATCATAGGAATGCGCTTATCCACCTTGGCGATCTTCTTGAGTACCCCACTGAAGTAAGTGTTGATCCAGTTCGTTCCATTGATAGTTAGACCAGCAGCAGATCCGAAACCAGCGAAGTTGTCGGAAGCTTCGTTGATTGGTGCGATCGTGAAAGCGTTAACGTGGCCGCTCTGCTTGATGAAGTTAAGAACACCATCGACAGCCTGGAAGGAGTAGTCAAGGTTTGTAGAGTTTTGGAACCAGGCCTGGTGGAAGAGTGCCTCGCCGATGTCGAGGTTGTTTACACCACCGGGAAGCGAGTGGAGACCGACGATAACTGAAAGAGCTTGTTAGCAATGGCACCACAATATGAGCCTAGGGTAAGTCGACTTACTGTGCATGCCGTATTTGTTGATGGCGTAGTCGGTGATGGTCTTGAGGAACTTTAATTGGTTGCCATGGTGAAGCTGAGAACCAGGAACCTCGATGAAGGCAGCATATGTGAGCGGAATACGGAGGGTGTTAACACCAACATTGGCAAGCTGGTCGATAGTGGTGGTGTTGATAAAAGAGGCATAACGCTCCTCGAAGACTGAAGCACACTTGCTACCGAGGTTCTGGCAGAGAGTCCATTCATCAGGAGCGCCATCACCGCCCACCTCAGACCACCAGATAGGGTCGTGAGTTTGTTCCTTCTCCAGCCATCCACCTAGGTTGGCACCATTGGCCTTGAATGTCTTCCAGTTGATGAAGTTGCCGCCGTTGACACCCTTACCCCAGTTGATATCGTGGCTGTGGCGAATGGGACTCAGATCGACAGCTGGGATGCTAAACGGGCACTGGTTGTGGAAAGGAACAGTGGCGCCGTGATTGGCACCATCAGTGTGGAGGTGGATACCCAACGAGGAGAGGAGCTTGTTGATATCGTTGGTGAGCAGGCCCAGGATGCTGCTGATCAGACCTGGGGTAGGAGCAGCAGTAGCACTGCTGGCCAAGACGGCAGCGGTGACGATAGCAGTAGCGCGCATGTTGAATGAATCTAAGCAAAGAACGTGTAAGAATCAAGTCGATGGGATTTCAAGATGCTGATGGTTCTGGCAGAAATGGAACTTGGCAGGTACTTATACAACATCCTACTTTGGACGTAAATATTTCTTACCCGTCGTCTCTCACTAGATTGTACTGGGCCGAGGCGATGTGCTCGGACGTGTCACTGTCATGCAGACACTGCTCGTACTCTTACTGGCCGAAGATGGCCGTGGCTGGAAGCAACGTATAGCTCATATGTAGTATGTTTAAGGCGCATCGCTAAAAGCGGTTCGACTATCGGAACCATGGTGGACTGTAATGACGGAATCGAGAACGGCAGTTGAGAGAGCGATATGCGCCGGGTGTTCCTGCGGCGAATGCAGGGGCGACCGCGTACCTGCGTGCGCGCTAGAATATTACAACCACAGTTAATCCCTGTCGTTCCTTGGGGAAGATCTTGATCCTCTCGGGCGAGACTTCCTAGGCTTCAAGGCTAACCGTAGTTCTCGGTGCGTTCTCCGACGCACTGGGATCTATGGCAAGAGCAGAAGACGGGTGACATGTATTCAAGAAGCGTTCTGTACAAGCAGTTCGGACTGACGAGCTTCAGGACTGCACATGATATGGCTGGCGAAATAATCTGTGAGGCCCTGAGCTCGACGTTGAGAGCGCCGGCTTGGCGCACATGGTCAACTCCAGCGGCGTCTAGGGTACCAACGCAGTTAAGACGCAAGCCTTCCGTCACTGTTCCAGGCCCCTGGAACAGCACAGACACGAACATGCATGCGCACTCAAAGATAAGTGCAAAGATAAGTGCCGGCCTCCTTTCTGGACGTTGAGCTACAGACTTTGACACTAATGCTGCTGGACTGAAAAGAGCCCGATCGTGATCTCTGTCCAGTAAAATTTCGGCACGACGACCAGGCTATCACCGAGGTATTGCTTGGTATAGTCTTAGCAAAGCTTCGATGAAACTCTGCTCTGCAATTCCTATCATGTTTCGAATTATGTGCCTAACAACAAAAGCCAATAGTCACAATGTGCAGCTAAACATTCCGATGTCATGTTAATCAGTCGGGCCCCAAAACCCATGTAGGGATCATCCCAAAATGTTCGTCCGTCTTCACTAAACAGATCACAACGTCTCCATTCGGATTCCCCGAACGACAAGGTGTGAAATCTCTTCTCGTATAGTTCCATCATCAATACTCTACTCGGCCCGCAAATGGGGGAGCCTTAGAAGGCTTGATTTGATCTGTCATAAGATTTCTGGAACGTCCCATACCACCGGAGCTATCCAGAATAGCGGTTGCGCTATCCTTGGAAGTCCCACTGTCATCGCAAAGCTTGTTTCGGGCTCGGTGTAAGACATGGCGAAGGTCCGGGCTTGCGCCCTAGTCTATAGTTGTCTAGAACGGGCTGTGGGAAGATGCCGTTGATAGTGCATATGTACAGCTATTGGAAACATACTAAAGGCTGATTCGGGTGTTAAGTGATGAACCGCAAAGTACCAGATGTGTTTACTTCAGAAAAATTCGCCGCTTGTTATTGAAATATTGAAATATCCGGTAATGTTATTGATGCAAAAATACAGCATGCAGAGGTGAGTTTATCAACAAGAGCTCCATTTCACAAGCCCTTTTCGTGTGCTTGTAGTCGTACAAATAAGATATGTATTACGCTCTAGTCGATTGAGATGCACGAAGTCTGGCCGGGAAGGAAGATATAACGGAAGAGTACTCAATCCGCCTCGCCAAAGTCGCTATGCCCGGTCTCGGTTGCGTGCTGTATCGCACCCCGTTCTCCAGCCCCCTTCCAGCCGCACTTGTTGCACTTGATGTCGAACTTTTGTGTATCAGTAAAATAATGTGCTTTCTGCAACTGCCCACAGAGTTCCCTGGCCGCTTCAAGAATTACGTCGTCCTTTGCGTCAAACAACTTGATATCTTGCGAGGGGTCTTGAGGTGACACACCGCGTGGCACAAGAGCAATGGTATCGTAGTGGATCCCAGAATACACTAGGATACACCGCCGTGATTTGCCCTCATTAAACCGATCTACCCGGTTGTCTTGGACGTTGACGCTGGCGATCTCGATGTCGAACTCCTGAGACAGTATGCTGAGTTCGATGCCACCACCCCACGAGTCAGAGTATGATATCCATTTGCAATACTCATCGGGAGAGCGCTGCAAGATGGCCTCGTTGTACTGCTCTGGATCTCGCTGTATAGCCTGCGCAACCATCGATCTGAGCTCGGTCATGGAATCAAGGGAGTCGGACAAGACAGCGCTACCGACTGCTCGAAACATGCAAGAGTTATCATCGGGCATGACTCGAAGAACCATGGTGCCACCACGGTCGGGTACCGGAACTTCGGGGGTGTCCTTGAGTGCAGAGTTCTGCTTCCGTTGGAGTGACAGCGGCGCGGCCTGAGATGTAGATGCTTGAAGTTCTTGCTCTTGCTTACGCTCACTTGGATCGCCCGTAGCTTGTGCAATGACTATGATGGATGCGCCGTTTAGCTTGAGATCGATGTCTTTCAACAACGTCGACATGCCGTACAGCGAAGGATCGAGCGGTTGTGGCGGATGGTTCCATTTCAACTCGAACAGTGGTAGTTCCGTCTTTTCGCTAATAGAGGACAGAAGGTCTGAGACAGCGGCGTCATCGTTGAGTGATACTGTGTGAGTGCCGTTGGGCGCGCGTAACCGGATACGGATGGGCATGTTGTGATGGGTCGGCTGGGATAACTTGGTACAGTTGGTATGCGTGAGCGGAGTAGTATCGAGCGTGAGTGAGGGAGCTTCGAGGGCGTGGCGCGAGATGCCAGTTGACTGGTGGGGCGGCGATTTAGCGGTGGAGAGCTGTTAGATGGAAGCTGCGATGAGTGAGTGGGTGTATGGAGGGAGGACTTCACGATTGCGCAAACACGAAGGAAGCTTTGTTAGAAAAGAATCGTTTGTCAGCTACGGAAAGACGCTACAAAGGCGACAGTTGGCATGGAACAAGTGGCATGGCGTAAGTGAATGTTCCCGAATCATGGAGGTAGGCCGACCCGGGGATGGCAGGGGTCGGCGAACCGGCGAATCCAAACTTCCGCTCCAGAGTCGCGACTTCTACATCCACGACGCGACGACGACGCTATCTGGCGCAACAAGGATACCGCAACACGACGGCATCGACTGGATTATCGCAAACATGGCATCCGGACGCGCCCCAAGCTCGACTCCGGTGCCTACCACCGAGACGGCCGAGTCCGCTGGCGCAACGTCGACTGTCACGGCGCAGGAATGGGAGGCCATGTCAAACCTCCTCAAGAATGTATACGACTACAGGATCGACGAGTAAGTACTCTCACTACTTGCGCCATGTATTCCCTGGCTGATCAATGTGCAGTGGAACATATGATCCCACAAAGCTCTTCCAGCGCAAAGTGAACAAGCGCGCCGTGCCCGACTATTACGACATCATCAAGGAGCCTATGGCCCTGAGCACCATCAAGGCCAAGATCGCGCAGAGAGAATACAAGAATGTCTCCGAGTTCGTACGCGACTTGGCGCTCATTCCCCACAATGCGCAGGTGTACAATAGACAGGACTCGCAGGCATATGTGGATGCGCTCGAGGTCAAGAAGGTCATTGAGCGGGAGTTGAAGAGGCTGGTGGATGACAAGATTGTTCCCGAAACAGTTGCCACGCTGCCGTTCCTTGGGGAGATTCCAGAACAAGACCCGCTGCTGCCAGAGGAGGAGGAAGAGGAGGAAGAGGATGATGACGAAGAAGAGCTCGAAGTGGATGAAGAAGAAGACGACGACGAGGAAGACGAAGGCAAACGCAAGAGGCGGCGTGGTCCGCGATCCACAGCAGCTATCACCAAGCGAGAAGGCGGCTCGAGAGCAGCAAAGGAGGACGCTAAGAACGACGACCCAGAATCACGAAAGAAGCGTGGGCGCCCGCCGCGGGTCGACACACCTATGGAAGCGCGAATCAAGACGATTATGAAAGCCATAAGGAAGCCTCGAAATCAGCTTAACAAGCTCATGGTCAGCGCATTCGAACGCGTTCCTGATAAGACGGTCATGCCTGAATACCACTCCGAGATCAAGAACCCAATGGCTATGGACATTCTCAAGCGCAAACTCAAGCGAAAGAAGTACAACTCGGTCGATCACTTTATGGTGGATGTGGAGCTCATGTTCGAAAACGCAAAGCAGTACAATGAGGAGGACAGCCAGATCTACAAGGACGCTGTGCATCTCCAAAAGGAGTCGCGCAAGGTTGCAAAGGCCGAGAAGGAAAGGCCTGACACTGACTACGTCATGGAAGAGGGACGTATTCCCATGCCTAGCGGCATTGTTCACAATGGCGAACTGTGGAAGGTTGGTGACTGGGTGCATATACAGAACGCGAACGACCTCACAAAGCCAATTGTGGCCCAGATCTATCGTACCTGGCAAGACGCAAACGGCGGACAGTGGGTAAACGCCTGTTGGTACTACCGTCCAGAGCAGACCGTGCACCGTTTCGACCGGCACTTCTTCGAAAATGAGGTTGTTAAGACTGGCCAGTATCGAGACCATCGCATCGACGAGGTAGTGGACCGGTGTTTCGTCATGTTCATTACACGTTACAACAAAGGCCGTCCCCGCGACTTTCCTTCCGACAAGGAGATTTACGTCTGCGAAGCTCGATACAACGAAGAGAACCACAAGCTCAACAAGATCAAGACATGGGCCAGTTGTCTACCCGACGAGGTCCGCGACAAGGACTATGTTATGGATCTTTTCGATGCGCCTCGGAAGTTGAAAAAGGTACCCAGCCCGATTGCGTACTTGCTCAAGGACGACCAAAAAGAGGACGACGATCTCCCAAAGCCGGAATGGGGTGCTGAAAATGCTCCTCCAAAGATTGGCGCTGTGCATCGTCGTCCGCGTGACCCCAAGGTAAGCGAAAAATGCTCTTTGTTACCATGAAGACCGATACTGATAGATCCTATAGGACTCTCCACCACCTGAACCCACTCCACCGCCACCACCGACACCCCCACCTGCGCCTGTCATGCCCACCCCAAGTTTGCCCACGGCTTCGTCGCACGGTTACGAATCTTCAAGAAATTATCCCATTGCGCAAGCCCCGACCCTTACGCCAATGCCCGCTCCAACACCGCAACAGCACCATGCTGCACCAGCATACACGCCAACCCATGCGACACATTACCACACTCACTCTCAATCACCCGCTCCACATATGCATCAGCAGGCACCTCAGGCGCCTTCATACCAGCCCATCACGCCACATGTACCCTTCACGCCCCAACCAGCTGCCCCCATGCAGGCCTTCCAGACGCCTCGCGCTGCGCCAGGCTACCAACAGCCCTATCCTCAGCAATTGCCGCTCAACTATAAGGCTCCACAGCCTGTAGAGGTCTACGTCATGGCCGACCATGCAAACGCTAGTATACCGCTTGAGATCCGCGAGCAGTTTCAGCGCGACGAAAAGGGTCGTATCCTCTTCTTCACTGCGCCGCCGCTCAACGTGGAGCAACCGCTGACTAAAGATGGACGCGCGTTGGGACACTCGGCTCGCTACCTGGCCGCTAAAGCAAAGAAAGAGGCCCTGAAAGCCTCCAAGCGCAAAGCTGGAGAGGCCAATGTTGATGAGCGTGAGCAGGCAGCCAAAAAGGCGAAGGCTGATGAGGAGGACAAGTTCAAGAAAGCTGTCTCCGAGCTCGGCACGAAAGCACTAAGGGCGTTAGAAGACCAGCTCGCCATGACTACGAAGACTGATCTGGCGGGTCTCTTCAATGGGCAGACCGAGGAAGGCATTTCTAAAGTGCTCGATCAGCTCACTACTGCTCAGAAGATGGCCAGGCAGCAGGAGCTGGAGCGCGAGATGCATACCAAAGAGCGTGAGGAGAGCAGGAGAATAGCAGTCACCGGCATGACAGCACGACTGGAGGAGAAGTACTGAGGTACTGTGTACGATCCATTGTATTTGTGATATCCAGTGTACGGTTACAGAGAGATCATGGCGTTTTGCTGGCCAACAGTGGCTCAAGTACCACATGAATATATTCTAGGTACTGTTTACTGTTTTCAAATGAAGTCCTTTTCTATTCTAAAATGGCGTATCTTTCATTCTTGGTCTGATTCCCACGATCTTACGCGTTCACTAACTCCACAAGACGAGTTTTGGTCAACGACGACGGGTGTATCCCTTACAGGTCTCTCTTCGTACTTTCTCCATGTTTCCGGGCTTAGCGCCACGTCCTGGCCATGGTCTTTTGCCTGTCGTAAGAGATACTGCACGTCGGGCCACAGCCCTTCCACAGCTTGAAGCGGAGATCTCCAGTCCCCTCCAAAATCAGGATCCGCTCCATGTCTGACAAGAAACTTTACTCCAGGCAAGACATCGTCTCCATATCCGCGATAACCCGCTCTAGCTGCGTGCCACAACGCGGTCACAGGTTTTCCCGTGTCGGGTACGCCATCAACATAGGCACCGTGTTGGATAAGTACTCGAGCGAGGTCGTAGCGATGGAAGTTTACCACCAAAGCAAGCGGTGTGACGTCACAAATTGCTTCGTTGGGATCCAGGTAACCGTCTTGTATGACAGCACGTAGAACTGAACAACTGCCTTCCTTCAGCACCTGAACCGCGTCAATTTTCTCTAATCCCCTCCTTTTCCCGACGTTGTACTTGGGTGCTTCTAACACTCTCTTCATGAAGCCCTTGTCAGTATACCTTGCCACTTCCTTGGTCAATTGAGTCCAGCTGGACCTGTTTGGTCGCGTGGAAGGAAAGCATTTATCAAGTAGAATGTTTCCAGATTCCTTCGCACCTTTGCGGATCGCAGCAGTTAGTCCAGATCTCTTCACACGTTTGTGGATCGCATCGTTTCGGTAAGGCCAGAAGTGTTGGGACATCTTATCCGTTTCGAAATTGTGGGTTGAGAAGATATCTAAAATGGTTTTGACTATGTGCACTTGATCACATGCTGCAGCTGCCTCTAGAGGGCTCGAAAGACAAGAGCAGCTTTCTTTCAAACGACCGGGGTTGCCCGAAACGAGATCTAGGAGCTCTTGCAGTTTCCCTGTTGCGGCTAGTGCTGCGGGTAGGTCGTCTGCAATGTCTGGCTCTCGGATTTCAGAGTAGTCGCGCAGGAACAGGCGCCAGCGGAGTTGTTTGTAGTATACACTAGATAGAGCTGTGCAAATTTGTATCGTGTATCGTTTCTGTAGGTCGTCCGCAAACTGACCCTTCTCAAGCTCCAGTAAAGCATTAACGAGTTTGCGCAGGTATTCGACTATTGGCAACGGCGCTTTCTGCCGTCGGAAAACTTCATGACTTATGATCGTGCCGCCATGCTGAGTAAAAAGCTTCTCAAATCTCGCATTATCTGTCGCGATGAAGATGTGGCGGTTCACTGGACTGGATAATCTGAGCTCATCTGTTGAGTACACGATGAGCGGTTGTCGTTTCAAGATCTCTTCTTGGATCTCATGGGCGAATAGTTCTGTGCGCATAAGTTGGAGTTACATTGTGGTGTTATTGAGACGTACTGCAGACAAGTCGGTAGTCGGATACGTACAACGGTCCTGTATCTCTAACAAAGAAGCCAATTATACGTTCGATTAGTTCTGTTGGAAGATCCAACAATTTCATGCTGTGGTGGTGCGCTGCTGCTGGATGGGGGGAGAAGAATAATGCTAGTCAGCAGGACCTTATTAGTTGTAGAATCAGAAGATAATGTTGACTAACCAACATTACTGACGTGATGGTGGGGCGCGTCTTGGGTTGCGCCACCTCAGTCTGTACGACCTCAGGGTTCTTGTTGAAGAACGCTTCATCCCTCATTTACGACACGACGTTGCAAAAGTTATGCTGCAGGATTATATCTTTAAGCATCCAATTCTTATCAGTGATTACTGAAACTATTAGTGAACCCGATAAATTTCAGTGCTCTTTACAGCGCCAAAAACGGGTGACCAACGACCCAGTATTCACCACCATACTCAGACTCTGAGCCGTCTTCATGGCTACTAAAACCCAAGGTCCTCAAACTCGTATACATCCCATAGGTCGGGGCGTTTGAGATACTCCTTTCCGTGATCCCTTACTGCCTCAAGCAAGAAAAGACATTTGCTATATCCTGATGACCTCGCAGCCGAAATCGCAGATATACCGCCCTTCCCACAAGAATTGGGGTCCGCGCCTTGATTGAGCAGAAACTCAACATCCTTTGAGTGCCCTTCATTCGACGCCAGCCACAGGATGGTGTGCCCTTCTGGAGTGATACCGTCGATCGCTGCACCGTTTTCGATGAGGATATGCGCAATGTCGTATCGTCGTCTCTGAAGAGCGTACTGTAGTGGTGTTTTGTTAAAATAGACTTTGTCTGGTCCGACGATACCATCTTTGAGTACTAGATATAGATTCAGGAAGTCAGTATACGTCTCGTATACAATTCATACATGTACACTTACGCATCTCCCACATTTCAGTTCTTCCTCTTCTGCACAGAGTCTTCATAGTTTGACTAGTAAGATCATAGTATCCGTTGGATCCTCCGTCAATATGGGCTACGAATCCGGGATGGTCGACCTCCAGAACACGATACAATAGGTCTATATTGCAGTATCCGATAGCATCGTTGACGAGCCAATTGCCCAGTTCATCGGGAGCAAACCTCGCGAAGAGCTCATTCTTGTCACGGAAGTCGAAAAGTAGGTTTCCAGCAACGTTCTTGTGTAAGCGTATGGCCATGCACAAAGCCTTGCCAATCTTCTGGGCAGTATTCCGCATATTTTTCCATGATCCGGAGTCGCGCTTGCCCTTGACATTTTCCACAAGATATTCTAGAATGCGTTCAAGGATGGTATACTGGTCCGCGACAATGGCAGCTTTAAGTGCACTTGGCAAGAGATCGTGAGTTTGTCTGAGGAGCAATGCTGGTGTAAGCGTCGGCTTTTCGAAGAGCGCAATATCTCCAGATGCGGCAGAAACAGCGAGCATCATGTCCTTGAGAGAGCATGGTCGCTTCTCCTTGTTGACAATCTCGACGCTCTTTATGTAGGCACACAGGTATCTTGGCTCTATAGCCGTCGTACTTATGCACAGGACCATCACTCGCGCAGCGTAAAGTGCAGTGTCTGGTTCAATTGCTTTGGCTAAACCCCGGACAAAGTCAACGACTTGGTTTTTTGTTGTTCGACGGCTCATAGCGAACTTGTGAAGGATCTCGCCACCATACTTTTCGAAAAGACGAGCGGAGGAAGTGTTGTGCAAGAATTTGGCGAGGTCCGTGGGATCGATGGCTGCAAGGATTTGGTTCTTGATTGTATTTGCGAATGTTCCTGCTTCTTGTTTAAATCGCTGAGCTTTACGCCGGTATAGTACTTACTGCTGATGAGTCGATACTGTACGACACTTCGTTGCCTAACCTTATTCGTAAGAGCCGCAATTACTTCCTCGAAAACCTCCAAGGGCAAGTTCAATAGCGGCATCTCGGATTGTTCGCTAGGAAATACCGACTGTGAAGTTTCGTGCAAAGAACCTGTCGACGTTGTCTCGCGAAGGATACCTGTAGGTTATCAGAGACCCAGGACAAGTACAGATTTAGTATGAGGTAAAAGGCCTGCCCTGTGAGGTCTCAATGTATCAATCCGCCTTCACTTTCAGTTCGTGACTCTTACTCGACAGGTCGGTAAGCAATCGCAATGACCTAGTCTCACTAATATGATGAGTGAATGAATAGGTAAAGGCAACTTCTTCCATCAGTGCAAGACGTTGGGCATTATGTTCCATAGACTCAGCGGATCTAAAAAGAACTCTAGACCTGATTTATGCTACGCACAAGACCATACGTCAACGATAGTGTAATCATGCAGACATCTTGTGACGTCGTAACAAAAGACCACGGGACGTCAGCCGCTCAAGAGCTCAGCATATTAGCAACAGCGCATGCTGTACAGTATCGACGTGAGACTCGTATTACTTGTGTTCAGCTTGACCAACGGTCACCTACTCACCTCTGTCAGTTGATTATCATTACAGTGGCCAAAGACGCTTCAACCATCCAGCTTCCGTTCTTTCGGCCACCAAAATAGTGAAGATAGACTAGAGAAAGTTTAATGAGCTCACCATTCAGCGCTTACTCACCGCGTCTGGGTCCATATCTAGCACAATTACTATAGTAGTGTGCAAGTCGTGGTCGGGTGGACCAGACCTAAAGAGACTTTCACTATTCCTGAATGCTTTATCTTCAGTGAAGAGCACTTTGACGAGGATTGTATGGTTGATGACGACAATAGTGTGAAACTCTTCTACAAATCATAATGATCTCTCGTGTCTACGTTACCAGAGTGCAACGAACCGCATTGATGTTTATGGAAATCAAGAGCCTTATCAGGATCAAGTATACTTGGAGAGACATCAACTTCTCCAGCTTACATATGATGTTGTTTTTGACAAGCTGTAACACGACAGTGGTGTCAAGCTTGATATAACGGTACACTCTTGACTCGACCATTGGTCCACCACTATCTTATCAAATAGCGCTAACCATCTTCGTTCAATGATGCGCAAACATAATTACTGGTACAACGAAAGTCTAAAGTCCTCCGGATGCGACTCATAGTCCAGAGAGTTTGGTTCATGCACGCATGATAGTACCACTAAGTTATTGCGCCGCTCGATCGGCCTCCTCCAAAGCCGTTCCCGCGCTCACCTTGGCCACTATCTCAATTTCCGGCATGAGTGATGGGCTCGCATTCTCCACTGCCTCAATATTGCCATCCCACTTCAAACGAGCGAGGGTCATACCCTCGGGGCCGTTAGCGTCATCGTGCTCTGCAACAAGGATGAGAGTTCGATGGACGGAAGGCCTGAAAACACACTGCTGTGGATGCGCTACACGTATCTCATCCCAAGGGTTGTTTGAAGAATAGAAGTTGCCGAGCATCTGGAATCGAGAATCTCCTGATCTCATATCAAGCCATGACGGCTCGAGCATGGAGTTGATCGGTACAGCTTTGCGGAATTAGCTAACATGCAGGGTGTTATATGTGAGCGTAATCATGAAGTACCTCTTTCGACCAAGCTATACCACCCGTACACTTTCTTGCGTGGCTCAGTCAGAGTCGTTGGGCTCTGCACTGTTGTGCCTTGGGAGGTTGTTGCGCCGACACCTGGTTTATCACCGTCATTATCGTCGTCATTCCCGTACGGATCATCCCCGCCCCATTCTACAGCTTCTTTTTCTTTCAAGTCGAGCCAATCTTGATTACCAATATCGATGTTTGCACCCCATGAGTCCGCCTCGACACTGCTGCAGCGCCCAACACCCACAATGTCTTCCTCGTCTTGGCTGGAGTTGAGCAGAACGACCACCACCCCGTTACGGCTAAAATCTTCTTGGTCGGCTACTATGAAGTATAGTGGATGGATGGTGTCGTCTTGATCGCGCAGGTGGATGAAATAGTCATACACGTCTCGTAAAGAGCGACCACTGAAGTCTGGCTGAGGGGCAAGTTTAGAACTCCCTGTACTAGTTTCGTCCGTGTTGATGCTTTCTTCAAGCTGCTGGCGAGCCGATACGTTCAAAGCAGCTGTGTGGAAAATAGCGAACTTGGTGCGAGACAAGCCGTCTAGCGTCGCGCGATGATGTTCCGCGTTGGGAGCCTTCTTGGGAAGTGTTTTCGCAATGTCTTTAGTAAAAGACATGTTGTTGTAGGTAGTATTGCGCGTACTTTGTTTTCCAGAGGGAGTCGTCTCGGAAGAGGTAGATGAGCAGGTGGGAATGACCTACTAGCCGTCTTAGGCGGGCCACATCAGACGACCGCAAGCGAAGAAAGGGAAGGGACTACAGCGGGGCGAGCTAAGAAATCAGAACCGGTTTGTTTATTGTTACTCCAGCCCTAGTGTTGGATGCCTTGGAGTCGTGCATCCGTTGCTAACGCACGGTGTGGCGATGGTAGCAAGTGGGGCAAATGTCAGTGACTGTCGTACAGAGCTCGGAAGGTACTATAGGAAAGCGCGTAGACGCAAACTATGATGTCAGAGGCTGGCTATGATGCGGACTCGCTCAGCTACGGGCTGAGCCTCCCGTCCATGTATAGAATTCGCCGTCTCGTTCCTTCTTACACTCCTACGACGCCACGCACTACTTTCAGGATGTCTTGTTTCCAATCAGCGCATCTGGCAGTGGAATTTCGGTGCTTATCGGTGTACAATGGGGGAAGTCGATCTTCGACTGCGTAGTAGAAAACTGCTTGTCTTTCCAGGGCACCGATTAAGTACGCTCACCAATCTTAGGTAAGATCTCTGTAGACATTTCTATATGTGCCTGCAACCACGGCCAGGAAGTGCAACGTCTGTTCAGAGCTACTATCGGCCTCGTAATCATGCAATCAATCGAGATGCTAAGGTATGGGTCTTTGAATATACAAGTAAGCAGCCTTCCAGCAAGACCCGAGTTCGTGTCTTCAATGTCAGCATGAACCTTTGCTTACCAGTGAGATCAGATGGTACATTTTACATCAATACACTCGGGGAGTACAAATGGGGCAATTACGGCCCTTCATGAATTCCAAGAAGCTTTTCAACTGATGTCTTCCAAATCCTTGACTGAACTCTGTCACCATTTCTCATCTCATGCAAATGGTTGGATCCACCATGCTTCAGTGTACACAAGTAAGAAGAATCGCAACACCCAGTTGATCTACACGGTCAGTTGATCCATGGGGCCAACATGAGTATAAAGGATATGGCTTTGTTCTTGTTCAAACCTCACAGAAGCGTTCTCAAGCTCTTTACTTAGTACGCAGCTATGCTATTCAAGACTCTTGTCATTACCAGCCTCATAGGCTCTGGAATCGCCGCGCCTGGTATGATTTTCAATTGCGCAGACAACATGCAGGGTAACTATTTGCCCCTTGGGTACAAACTTAGCTCATCGTCGCTTAGACATTTGCAACAACATGTGCTGGGGCGCTTACTGCACTAAACCGTCATTTGGAGCAACACTGAAGTATGATCGTTACGGAGGTACTGGAAAACGCGATAGTGATATTGGAAAAGCTCGCCAAAAGTCGGCTGGCTGTCTTCCTAGGCCCAACCGTTGCAGCGTAAGATTCTATCCATTCTGAAGCATGCAGATCAAAAACCATGTCCTGACTGTTCGATAGACTAGCGGTGGCAATCCGAGAGCTGGCGAGAACTGCGACGAGTATCCATTCGCAAGCACTTCTGACGCCGACAAGGGTGGGCAAGTTAGCAAGTGTGTCATCAGCAGGCACAATAGCCGTTAGTTCAATTCTCCCTAGAGCTGGGGTTCAACTATTCAACTAACGGGCTTCTCACATATAGGCCAAGGTCGCATTATCCAACAGTACTACGGAAGCTCTTGCAATAGTCAGCCATGCAAATTCATTGTCGGCTTCGGTAACCCGGCCGCAGCTGGGGTACAATACTGCCAGGCTTACAGTAATCCGCACGGTAAATGCATCAACAACCAAATTGCTAAGATATACAAGAACGGGGCTCCGGATGTGCGTCCCACAACAAAGAAGCGCTCTGAGCTTGAACCTGTGGCCCAGTCTGCGCTGCTCCGGATGTCCAGCGGCATGGAAGTCTTGTTGCGTAAGTTCCCTCTCTTCTTCAGAGACATATGATCGTTCATAAAAGTACTGATCTACATCTAGCAATCGATACCTTGCTCAATACCACATTCGTGCACCCAACTGCTCGCAACAACACTATGAAGACTTAAGTCGAAGACAATGACGAGGATGAAGATCACATCGATTGGAAGTTTGTCGAAGACTTTGTCGCTACTAGACTTGATTGAAGCTGTTTCGACACTTTCGCTCGATCCAGCCGGGGTTCCTGCATTCTTGAAGAATCTCTACTCTCGTTTAAGCGATTGTCTATGTTGGGCTACGTAGGTGTCACTCATTCAACCGTTCGTCTCAACCATCTGTTACTCCTAGCCCTATATAGACCATCCTCATCTTACCGTAGCTGCAACCCTTTATCATACCACTACGAGATGCATTCGTAACTATGATCCTGTCGTCGTCAATCTCGATCTCGTTTTCACCCTCAGACGGCTCAGGGGAGGAAACCTTTTGTTCTAGTTTGCGACGTCCGGAACTCATCGGTAATTTTACGAGGTCAAGCGAAGAAAGTTTATCAATTCGGGTCAGACGTCTGCTAATTCGTTCCCTTTAGGCACAAGCACCATCTTGTTGTCCTTCGTTTTGGATACTCTACCACATTTGGTCTCGTTCGAGACATCCTTCATTACTTCCGTGGCGCTGAGTTTCTTTCAATTTTGGGGTCGAGACTTATTCGCGTTCTTAGCCTTGGGCTCGGACTTGACGCTGGACCTGAATTTACATGATAGCTTCGTCCCTCTCCACTCTTTTGCCTCGTCCGTAATCCTTTCCCTAGCCGCATCCTCTTGTGCATGTTCACATTAAGACTGTGTGAAGCCGGAGCCGCCTCTCTCAAGAGTCGGGTGCGTGTAGAGGCCGTAGCGGAAGCAAACTTCTGTGGCATGATGCTGTTTATTGATAGCTTTAGATTTCTGGGATGATCCAGATGTCGGAACCGGGATCGTATTGGCGGCGCGATATCCGTATCTGTTAACTAATACAACCTGATTGTGCAGCAAGGCTTGATGAATGACTTTGTAGTTCTGGTCCATCAGTAGGTATCCAGCCTATACTAAGTAGCCTTGTCTGGAGTTGACAGCCAGACGTGACCAAAAAGGTCGAAAACAATGCCACGTTAAAGGCTCAGTGATGTTGTACTATGATCACTGTATCACTTCGATAGGATGCTTTGTTTCGAGATGTGGGAAGTCGAAGCCAGTTTCATCGACGTAACAACTGTGGGCGTCATTATCCCTTTGTCCATGGGTTGAAAGTTTTCAGCGTATGCAGAGCATTAGACGCATTGAATGCATAAGCGCAGAGATACACCGGCTGCCATTAAACAAATAAGTATTGAGGGTATACTACAAATGAAGATACGTGTCACAATACTTCGTGTATCCTTGCTTGTCATGGTCGTGATGAAATGCGCCTTAAAACCAACCCAAACGCGCTTAATTACAAGAACGCCAACAATACCGCAAGTCGTACGCTCGTTGTAAAGATATGCTAAGAGTCATGCAACGCTAAGTGAACCTAACCGGCAAATGCAAATCGCTTGAGGTTGAACATCGGTTTTCGGGGCGAGCACTCGCTTTCGGCTTCGCTGTCTGGCACAAGGAGGTCTTCACTCCCCTTCAATGATGATCTCCTTCTCTTGGCAGGCGTCATAGGAGGTGGTGAGCTCGCAGCTATGACTACGTCGGCTTCCGTAGCAGTCCAAGTAGAGTCTGCAAGCCCCACTCCACCATCCTTCTTGGACGGTGTTCCGGGGAGTATGGATTCTGCATCGAGCACGACAGCGAATGTGGGTGTGATTTCTCGAGGTGATGGTGTAGGTTGCCATGCCTCAGCAGGTCGACGATTTGGACGGCTTTTGTTGGCTCGCGGTACACCCAATGATGGCGAGGGACATTTGTAGGTGAACTTCGTCCGTAGTTCACTCATCTGAGATGACATTACAGTGCTGAAAACCGAGTCGGGTTCCGGTGAGGATGCTGGTGTGAGGGTACCGATAGTATCCTGAGATTGCGCAGTACTGCCTCTAGAGAAGACAGTCGACTGTGATTCGCTTCCTCCGCTAGACTGCGTGTCGCTGAAGACGCGTAGCTTCTTCTTGGATTGAGTCGCAGCTTCTTCTAGATCAGCCACCTCGACCATAACTTCCTGGATGGAGTCATCTGAGTAAAGCTCAAAATCTTGGTCAGTTTTTCTCCTACTCTTCTTCGCTCGGTGTAATGTTGGGCTCGGCTCTGGTATGGACGATTTGAAGAATTCACTGCGGACGATACTCTCACCGCCAGCAGTAGGGGTATCGGAAACGGAATCGGAGCACAGTCGTTGTCTCTTAGAAGGATGCGGAACCGATCGTCGACCGGCCGTTGGATCAGTCATCGTACGTCGGGGTGGTTGAGGCGCCGTACTTGGCGTTGGCGGATGCGGCCGCAAGCGTGAGATTGGGGCAGGTACTGCAGCCCATCCACTAGAATCTCGCTGCTGTTCCAATAGTACTTGCTGACTTGGTGATGGTGTGAACAAGTTTGGAGACAACTCCGCTAAAGGAGTACGTTTGGCTTTGAAGAACGAGTCGATAGGCTTCATGCCTTTCGCATCTGGTGTCTGTACAACTGCTGAAGCCCTGCGAGAAGAGGCAAGAGGTATTCCGCTAGTTCTCCTGTTGCCCATGACATTTATCGGAAGCTTCGTACGTGGGTATAGTTCACCCTTGGCAACACCCGTGGCGATATGTGAAGGTACTTCTTCTCCAATATAAGGCATGTCGGCAAGGTTGACGCCCTCTTCGAGTGGCGTAAGATTGACCAGTTGTTTTGCGACTGGACAATAGACCCACTGGTAGAGGAAGGTCTTCTCTGCTTGATCAAATGACTCCATGAATCCAGCTGGCACCTTGAGCTTGCCGTCGAATTGAGCAGCCTTGACAAGGCGATCGACAGTCTTGTGCTTCCGCAGCATGCGGTGGGCAGTCTTGAGGCCCAGTCCACCAATGCCCGGTAGGTAGTCGCAACCACTCAGGATGCACATTCTTCGGAAATCAGCGTCGGACCAACCCACCAAGCTAACCTCCCTGCAGGCGGCAAAGTGATTTCTGTTGACCTCGATGCACTCTCCCCATTTGTCAAGCTTTGTTATCAGACATTTGACGCCGAAGACGAGCAGGTCCGAATCTTCGGATAAGACACCGTCGATGATGCCCTTCCGCTCCAGGTATGCCAGTTGCGAATCAGCCTCGTAAGGAGCGACAACGTACTGGACATTGTTTCGCTTCAGCTCTTCGATGACCATGCGCGCCATCTCCGGTGTCACGTCAACGCTCTTCTGTAATTCCTGTTGCGCTTGTGCTGTCTTCCCAACTTCCAAAAGTTCGAGTCCAAGCCTCTTGCCCTCTTTTCTCCGCTCTCTTCGACCCTTCTCCGTGCCAGCTTTGCTCGGTAGGTTGTCGCCATCGAATACAAGGTAGGGTGTGACGCCGAAGTGGATAAGCATACGGACCCGGTGCATGACGAAGTCGACATATCTAGGACTACGTTAGCATGTGAGCGTCACATGTACGCCGCATTCGGTGCATACTTGGTTGTCGGCTTCTCAAGCGCCAGTTCGACGGCACAGGCTGCGGTACCACGGTGCAGCCAACCATACGTATCTACGCCAATCGTCTTGCCGGTGTACTTTTTGAGGCTACATGGTTGCTGGACCGACTTCAGTAGTGGAAGAAGGCCTGTTCCAGGATTAGTATTGCAAGGTGGGTGATCGAATGTACCAACCGGAGATGCCCATCTTGTACCCTTTGCCGCTCACGCGTCCGGTCTATACAACGGACTGAGACGCAGCAACTACCGCAACATGGTGGTATCGTGAACAGGCAATAGGAGAAGGGAAGCTCTTGAACACTAGTACACAAAGGACAAGAGAAAAGGAAGCGCGTTCGCGATCTAAAGTGTGGAGCAGTCATTGATCGCGGGTACACGAGATGACAGGAACGCGCCCCGCTAACACCTGCTCTAGTCCGCATCCGTCTGCTAGCGTGATTTCCGTCGCCGACTCGCCGATGGATATCCAAAATTTCTTACTCCCAACACCAGCACCAAACAAAGTATCAAACATTCAAAATGGTCAGCAATCGCCTCGACAAGGTGCACAAAAAGATCACCAAGAAGAAGGGCAAGAACCCTAATCTCCATGAAGGCAGCCGGGACACAAAGCGGTTACAGAGCGCCGCGCAGAGAGATGACAAGCTCAATCGCCTTACTAAAGTCCGAGAACACCAAAATCGCCCATACCGTATGCATACTGTTGCCAGTAGGTTGACATGATATAGCTAACGCGTGATAGTGCTGAGAGTCAAATCGTTCCAATCATATACCACAGAGCATGATTCACCACTCAGTGTATCAGAAATCCAGGCTATGATCGAGGACTACTTAGGTCGCGATGACGAAGAGCTGGCAAAACTGAAGGCAGAACGTCGCCCGGGACGGCCACCAAGCACACGTCAAAATCTGTTGGAGATCAACCAGAAAACTGAGCAAGACGAGTATGCCTCTGGCTTCTGGGTACCGGACCTCGAGGATGTCATCAATCTGAGGAAGTTGAAGGAGTGGAACGGCCAGTGGGCGCAGCTTGCCACGCTCAAATTTTCCAGGATCTCGAAAGGAGGTTTCAAGAAGGAGTCTAGCTTCCCACCAAAGGGCATGTCATGAGCGCTGGAAATTGTTCCAAATGCGGCCCCGAAGGCTTATCAAAAGGCCGATATGCTACGCTCTAGTGGTTTCATTGCGCGACAGGCGATTGCTTTTGGTTTTCGGGATCGCTGATGCTGGTGCGGGAGGCGGCGGTTTCTGCGAGACTTCCTGGAGGTTTCCGCGCCTATCAACAGCCCTACGATCTTATTTCTGCGAACCTGGCATGTGCAGTCCGTATCCATGACATATGATCATGGGTGCGGATTCCATAACACACACGATTTCTGCGCATTATCAGATCGTGCAGTGTCCTTCAAAAGCTTGTATCGAGCAAGCACATAGCGACTACTTAATTATCGCCTACGTACCGATGGACTCTCTGGAGACTGGATTGGAGGACTGGTGCGCTCTTGGACTTGCAAAACAATCGATACAATTCCAGTAATGGCGAACGAATGACCCGGGACGAATCGAGAATTACACTCTAAGGAGCGTCGAACATAATTCTTATCAAGCTACAGCTCCGTTCGGAGTTTCGGCAACATATATATACCCAGAGAAAACTACCTTTCTGTATCTTCCGAGAGCTCCACTTTACCCATCCTATGACTGTACCCGATCTATTTATATTGTTGAAACGCGACATGCCAGACTTTCATTCCCTTATGCCCTTCCCTCAACAATGGGATGATCCTCGCAAAATCTTCAGTCTTACGAAATGCCATATGTGCCTCTACGTCCGGCCATCCGATAAATCCTGCAAACAGTTTTCCATTGACACCCTCACCCAGATTCTCATGCTGATGCGGCTCAACACTCCATCCGCCAAAAACGCCTTTAGCTCCCGACTGCGGCATCTCAGCAGCCTGAGCGCGGAATTTGGAGAACTGGGAACTGTATTGGTCCTGGTGGTAGTCGGGCGGAAAGTAGGCGTTTATGCACTCAGTGACGGGCATAGTAAATGGGTTGTCGGATGTAGAGTATTCAGCGGGGAACTTGACGTGGAACATCTCTGGGCCGCTGGCTACAAGCTTCTCCATAATGTTTGACAAGAAGGGTTGGTATCCCGGGGTGCCCTCGAAAGTTTTGTGGTCATCGATAGATTCCCAATCTATAGTCGATCAGCGAGAAGATGATAGCGGTCAGCTGACCAGGGACATAATGGCTATCACATACCTACGAGCATCTGGACTGTATCCGGGCTCTCAACTTGACGACCCCAGTATAATGCCTTACAACCAGGCTGCTTGGCAATGGTACTCAAGGTTGATTGCCATGCTTCTTTCGCTTCGCCTGATGAAAGATCCAGACCAGGCTTCATATGCAAGTAAACAACTTCTGTGACACTTCCAGACATCTTGTGTTCGGGGATGTAAACGACGACGATTATCTGAGTATAGTGCGGTGGGAGAGAGTTCAGGTTACAAGAGAAATGCCAATCAGAACTCGTGTCTGTTGTATGGAGTTCAGGATAATAACGAAGGAGAAAAATACAAGAGAGATGATGTTTCCCAGTGGTACCTGAGTATCATATGTTACGTGCGTATGATAAGCCTTTTATCCCACATTGACGTAGTGAGAAGGTGCGAAGCGGGGTTGGCGAACAAAGTGGGAACTCAGACACCGTCGGCTCATTGCATTCTTCCATGTCCGGGACATATCTAGACTGGTGTCTACAAGCAAACAATTTACGGCCAAAATATCGGTGTCAAGTAGAGATTCCCACTTCAGATATGGGAAAACGGTCAGATAAAAAAAGCCGCACATTGTTTTGATGGGCGAGGGCTCCATCAATGGCCGATCGGATACCTTGATACCCCCGAAGGACAGAACAAGAACTCCAACTCGTACTCCAAGCCGATCGCTGACTCTAAGCATCTCCAAGTACGCTTCAAGTACAAGTGCTAATAAATACCTCGATCCAAGTCATGCGCAAAGGAATGCACTACCAATGTATCAGCCCCTGCGATCCCGACGCCGCGCATGTCCCGTACTCCAATTTCCATCGTTCTTGTATGCAGATGGAACGCCTCCTGCTTTCAAGGTTTGTCGGCAGGACGCGCAGGCTATAGTGCTGCAGCTGGGACATTGCTCTGCAAACTTGAATAGTGGTCGGGTGCAATGCGCACAGGTGTGATGACCTTCAATTTTGTTCCACCAACGCCTGTGTTTACAGTTACCGAAACTCGTGTTACGTTCATTAGATGTTCTGGTTCGCTCTTTGTCTGCTTCTTGCTTTCTAAATCTCTCCTGTGCAACACGCTGTGCTTCTTCTTGATAGGCTTTCCATTTTGCCTCGCACGCTGCACGTTCCTTTCTCTCGCGCTCTGCAGATTCTCTTGCTTGCTCGGCTTGCTGTTGTCGGAACCTCTCTGCCGCTTCTTGGGCAGCCTTGTTCCGCTCAGCCTGCTGTCTTGCCTGCTCTTGGCGTCGAACTTCGTAGGCTCTTTCTCTGGCAAGCCGTTCCATGTTCGCCTTTCGAGCCTGCTCAGCCGCTATTCGTTTCTCTTCTTGAGCCTTTCGCTGCGCGAGTTGCTCTTCGAGCTGTTTCAGTTGTGCTTTGGCTTTATCTAGGGGTATCTGTTTGATCCTGATAGCGTTGTCCGCGTTTATGGAGGCCAATCTGATCTCACTCTTCTCTTGGTCACTCAGTCTTTTACTCAAGAATGCAAAAACATTCCAGGCGTATGGAACATCGTTCGCTAATCTTGTTCGATTCCCATCAATTATGGCATTCAGGCGATCGATTTCGGCCTCGAGGGGCTTGATGATATTCCGAGACTGTCGGATTTGCTCTTCCTGGTGTCTCTGGAATTCTAGCCACTCTCGTCGCTTTCTATCGCTTTCTGCTTGCGCACGTGCTTCGTCCTGAGCTGTTGTGTCGGGACGAGGGGATGCTTGATACTTCGGTTGTTGGGTGGACGTAGGTTGAGGGCCAGATCGACTGCCAGATGATGGCGCCTTTGGCTGTGGTCGGCTTCGATCATATTCGACTCTCTTCTCTACATCTCCTAGGATCTCCCATGCTGCATTAATCTGCGCCTAGTGTTAACATTGCACACGTACTAACGCACTCCCCCCCTGTACCGATACTTACAAGCTGAGTCTTCGCAGTCGCGTGTTGACATCCGATGTTTTTGTCCGGATGATGCAATCGTGCGAGACGGCGATACGATGCCTTGATCTCGTCATGAAGTGCGGTTGGTAGCACCTCTAAGGTAACGTAGTAATCGTGTGCGGGTGCAGTGGGAGCCATCTTTCGCGTAGACTAGCTGTTACAGTGAAAGCCCTTAGAAGTCATAACATCCTAAAATGTTTGGTGCAGACAGATTACGATTGAACGGAGACGTAATGCTAGAAGCATTCAGCATTATGAGGAAATTGAGGCTGCAGCCTGGACGAGGCTGTGGTTTCTAAGCGCCATGCCACTGCAACCCATTTGCAGACCGCCAGAGAAAGCGAGAGCGAGAGAGAACGATTCGATGTCAGTCAATATCAACTAAACCGCAGCGAGAACCCATGATTTGCACTGCTCACTCCATGTATGCAAGATGTATTACATTTTCCTTTTCAATCCCATATGCATGCAATCGCTATCCAAACGTCCCAAATAACAATTACGCTTAATCATACACAATCATAATCCAACACCTGTATCGACAAACACACCTTTCAATTAACCTTAGTAACCTTGATTCCACGATCGAGAAGCGCATCTTTGAGACCCTTGGCAACCTGTTTCCTCGTCCTGGCAGTCTGTCGCAAGCTGTCGATGTTGTCGTCAACCAGGTCGCTTAGACGTGCAATTTCTTTGCCTGTTGTCGGGCTGCCTTCGGGCGTGTAGAACAAGCCATAGCCCTTGCTGGGTGTAGGGGTAGCCTCAACGTCTGGGGTCAGAGCACGACGATTCAGCTCGCTCAAGCTCATCTTGTTACGGTTGGTAGGTGGCGTAGCATATGGTGTGTCGGCAATGCTACGGCGCAGATCTGTGCCGCGTGATCGTCGGGGTGTGCCGGCGTTGCGTGAGGAGGATGAGGAAGGACGGCTGGAGTCTGCAAGGCCGATCTTGCGCATCTGTGCCTCAAGGACGAGGATATCGTTGTTCTTCTGCTCAGCTAGGCTGGCCAGTCGAAGGACTGTCTTCTTCACAGCTTCCATAGATGGCACCGCCTTTGTGCTGCCGTTCTGGGCGTTGTGCGAAGCTAGACGTGAGCGCAAAACTGCGACGGCGTCTTCAGCCTTACGTAGCGATGTCAACAACTGGGCATAATCGTTACGCAGGGCTTTCTGCCCGTCCGCAAGCTCCTTCGGCAACGGCGCCTTACGGAGTGCTTCTGCCTTCTCGGGGTCTTTGCGATTGATGATCTGGCGGCGGATATCGTTAAGACGAGTCATCAGCTTGGCTTTGTCGTGAAGTAAGCGGGCGAGTTGTGTAAGCTTGAAGAGCACGTCTTGTACTCGTCCAGCATCAAGCTCTCGCTCAAGCTCATCTTCGAGAGAACGTAAGGCTTGGATCTCACACAGGGTGAACTCCTCGAACCAAGAGCCATGAGCTCCTTCGTCTTGGACATCATCCAGCATACGTCGATCGATTGTGTGGTCGGACCGAGGCTGTAGGTGATATTGTGTGAATGACTTGATAGATCGCGCGTTCCAGCCAAGCGCGTCCACCATGCCGTTGATGTCCTTGTAGATCAACTCGATCTGAGCGGCGTGGCCGGTCTTGCTAGGTGATTTGCCACCACTGTAATTCTGGTATGCGACAAACTCCTCCAGGTTCCGGCTGGGTTCGATCGGCTGCGAAAGCTGTGCCCGCATCCGCTCATCTTCTTCATCTTCAAGATCGGAGAACTGTGGTTGTGGCGTCGGTGGTTTAGACCCAAGCATAGATGAGCTTAATGAAGCACCCGGTGCGACCAGAGGTTCTCTTCGAGGACGAGACGCTGAGCTTGAACGAGCTGGACTAGGCGAGCGAAGGTCTTGGGCGCGGTTCGCTGGGGGTGGGAAATTCGGTTTGGCAGGCACTGCGGGCTTGGGACCCTTGGCTGGTTGTTGTCCAAACAGCGATGAGCCTCCAAACGATGGCTGGCTAACAGCGGGTCTCGAAGGCTGTGAAAACAAGGAGGGCTGGGCAAGTGAAGCGCTGCTACCAGACTGGGATGTGGCGCCGGATTTCATGGTAGGAGGAGTCGGTGCAGGAGGGAAGAAGCTCTTTGACTGATCCATCCTTTCCTGCAAGCTAAAGCCAGACGGCTTCGTAGGCTGCGACTTTGACGCGTTGTTTGGTGGATATGTTTCATCGACTTCTTCAACGTCATCCTCATCCTCATCCTCATCCTCATCCTCATCCTCATCCTCATCCTCATCCTCATCCTCATCCTCATCCTCATCCTCGTCAAAAGAGTCTTGCTCGTCCCCATCTTCATCCTCGTCGCTCTCCTCATTGTCGTCATCATCGTGGTCATCCTCATCTTCGTTGTCAATAGGGGATACATCGACGGAAGAACTGGGTGCTTCTACTTCAACACCAGGACTGCCAGCAAGAGGAGGCAGATCGTCGCTAGTCGACTTCGGTAGCTTCGTGTTGATGAAGTCCGGAGGTAGAGGCGCGTCGTCAACCTTGGATGGTTTAGCCTTGGTAGAATCTGGCGGTAAAGGTGCGTCATCCGCAGGGGTGGCGGCCTCTTGTGCAGGCGGTGCTGCTTTGGGGGTCGCGCTCTCTCTTGCAGGAGTATCGCTGGGGAATAGTGGCTTCGACTTTGGTGGCGATGCCGGAGTGGTTGAGACGTAATTTGGAGGAGCTTCACTCGCGGGGGTAGCTGGCGGCTTCATATCTGTCTTTCCTAGCATGTTGGAAAAGTCACTACCGAAGAATGAACCGTTGGCAGGAGCCGCAGGCTTCGCTGGATCGTCCTTAGCCGTGCCGTCACTAGCAAAGGTGGTGCCGAGCTTGAAGCCACCTGCAAGGCCAAAGAGGCCTTGTGATGCTGGAGCTTGTGGGGTGGGTGTAGCCTCATCCCTCTTTCGGTCGGTATTCGCGTCGCTGTTATCAGATGCCTTAGACTCGAATGAGGCTGTGTTGAACGAAGACTTTTCTGGTTGTCCAAAGATTGAGCTGCTCTGCTGTGCGGGTGTGTTTGCCCAGGAGGGTAGTGAAGATCCAGTATTAGAGCCAACAGTCACAGTAGAGCCAAAGCTTGGCTCCGTCTTCAGACCCCCAAAGCCTGACTTTTGTTGCCCTTGTCCAAGCGATGCAAAACCTGAGCCTGTTTGCGCGGAATTGTTGCTTCCAAAGCTCGAGAAGGAACTCGATCCTCCAGCACCTCCAAACTTGGCAAAGCCAGATGAGCCACCAGCAGCAGCCGAAAAGGGGTTGGACTTGGATTCTGAAGATTGTGCAGGTGCTCCCCATGGTGATGCTTTGTTTCCCATTCCGCCCGCTGCTCCAAAACCAGAGCCACTACCAGCACCCACAGCGGACGGTGCTCCAAAAGCTGGCTGCGAAGGCTTACCGATTGCAGACGGTGTTCCAAAAGCCGACTGAGAAGGCTTACCAAATGACGAGGCAGCACCGAAGGCAGGTTGAGAAGGCGCACCAAAAGTTGGCTGAGAAGGCTTACCGATTGAAGACGGGGCGCCGAATGCAGGTTGTGCAGGCTTACCGAACGTTGGGGCAGGTAGACTCGTAGCAGCAGTGCCGAATCCAGGCGTTCCGAAGCCAGGTGGTGTGGGCTTCATCAGAGCGGGAGTTGGTGTACTGAAGCCATTTCCGGTGTTGCCACCAAATGCGGGAATGCCCGACGTTCCTGGAGTTGCGGGTGTTCCCACGGACTTGCTGAAGGGGGTAGAGGTAGCGATGGGAAGTTTTGACGCAGGAGTAGAAGCCCTTGGAGTTGACGATGATGAATGTTTGGTAGCTTCGCTGTTGAAAATGAGACCAGGGTAGCGTTCGCCAGCCTCGATAGACTTGTTCCAGACAACCCACCAGGCTGAAAGAAGACCTTCGTGAGTAAGAGCCATGTATGCAGGCAATGGCCACGGCGCCTCGTTGATCTCTTCCAAGGCAGGGATAGGACGCAGTATTTTCTCCTTGCTAGACAGATCCAGTGCCTCACCAATGAAGACGCTATCGAGTTCGTCCTCTCCATAAGCCGTTCGCGGTACCTGAGCCTTTTTGGTGTCGTCGACACTGACAAGCATGAGCTCGTTGCAATTCTCCTGATGTGGAGAGATCTTGCTGCTGGTCGAGGCCAAGATCGCAATGGAATCTGCATGGGAGGAGGTGATGATGAGCATGTCGTCGAGATCGGGCTTCCAGTTTTGTAGGCGCGTGGACGAGATGCGTGCAGGGAGTTGGCGGCGTGGAGGTTCGAATGCTTCGGGAAGAGGATCCCAGGCCAGAGAATGATATGTGAAAGACCTCCAGTCTTTGGTAGATTGTATGACGCTGTACTTCTTGGGCTCGGGGCTGTCCTGGTCTTGGTTCTTGACGGAGTACACAACCAGGAACTCTGCAGTTTTCAACCATGACACGCCCGTCGCCTCGTGGCTTTCATCCACGTCCGGAGGCCGAGGAATGACGCCCTTGAGCTCTCCATTGGCCATGTGTATAGCGCAGGTGCCGTCAGTGGAGCCAGAGACGACAGCCTTTCCGCGCGCGCTCCAAGCGGCGCAGTTGACATCGTGCTCTAGGATCGTCCTTTTGGCGCCGCTTCCCACGTCGCATATCTCGAGCTTGCCGGAATCGAGGACAATAGCGAAGTACTGTTCAAAATCAGGAGAGGGATTCGGTAGGAGTGCTCGAATAGTCGTGTCGGTTGCCAATTTGTTGTCTGCATCTCTCTTGCCTCGGCTGACAACATCCGCAACACCGTAGATAACCACGCCGCCCTCAGCTTCATCGGACGTAACCAAAAAGTCTCCATCGGCGGAGAATGCGACATGGCGTAGGTTGGAAGTGGAGATGTTGATGTCAGGTGTGTAATCTGCCACTACATCAATGTCGCGGTTTTCGAGGCGCGGATCATCGGGTTGCTCGATGGCATCGGCGATGGTCTTGTTCTGGAAAGCTTTGCGCAAGGTGTCTGTGGATGTGATGACGAGGGCGTTGGGGCCGGCGGCAGCGAGAAGACCGGGTTTGGAGGCGACAGAGAGCAGGTTGGCGGAAGCGGGAGGCAGATTGTCGGTGGGCCATGGCTGGGGCAGGATCTTGACCTTCTTGGGGCCTTGTTTGCCTTGGTTGAGGACTTTGAAGCCAAGATGCTGTGTAGTTGTCAGTCAGTACTGTCGCATGTCGGTGTGGTGCAAGCTATAGCTACCTCAGTTTCGACCTCTGGCACCTCAGGCCCAGCCTCGACAGCCGGCGCGGGAATCTTAGACATTCTGCAAGACTTGCAGGCCGAACAGGTTCTGGCGCGTAGGAGGCTCGGCTTGGTGTCGCGCGTAGGAGTTCTCAGCTTATTCATATATGCATCGGAGAACGTGCGCGATCGCGCGTGAACAGGGTTGATGTGTTTTGGGAAAGAGCAAACAGGCCGCTATAGGCTAGGCGGAAGGCGTTCCAAAGACTAGAAGACTATTGAAACGGCGGTGATGTAAGGAGGATGTGCCTGGCGCTCTGGACAGTGAGCGACAAGCATGCGACCATTAGCTCGACACTTTGAAGCGACGCGCTTTGTTGTTCTGAGAAAGTTCCCGAGCTAGTGGAGCTGCATGGCCGCGCCAAGCCTACCTCCAAGCTCCAGGCACGACAGCTACGCAACCTCACCGTCGCCGCCGCCGCCTACACAACCCCCGGACCAGACTCGCGCCATCAACACACACACCAAGCTACACGCCGTCTCTGCAACAAACCACCCCCACGACTCTACCGGCAGCTTCGCAACAACACCATGGGCGGCTTCGACTTCTCCAACCACAACCGCAATGCGGCTCTCCACGCTCAGGGCATCCCGCTGCCCAAGGCGACGAGCACAGGAACAACCATTGTCGGATGTCTCTTTGACGGCGGCGTGGTCATCGCAGCAGACACACGAGCCACCAGCGGCCCCATCGTAGCAGACAAGGTAGGCTCGTCCCTGCCAGAGACGCAGCAATCACCGTGGACATAGGTCTGACATGTGCTGCAGAACTGCGAGAAACTCCACTACATCTCCCCTCACATTTGGTGTGCCGGTGCCGGTACCGCCGCAGACACCGAGTTCACCACCGCCATCATCTCCTCCAACCTCGAACTGCACGCCCTCTCCACCGGCCGCAAGCCCCGCGTCGTTACCTGCATGACCATGTTGAAGCAGCACCTGTTCCGTCACCAAGGTCACATTGGCGCCTACCTCGTTATTGCGGGTGTCGACCCCACCGGCGCACATCTCTTCACCGTCCACGCCCATGGCTCCACCGACAAGCTGCCGTACGTCACCATGGGTTCGGGTTCATTGGCCGCCATGTCCGTCTTCGAGACACAGTGGAAGCAAAACCTGACAAGGGAGGAGGCCGTCACACTCTGCGCAAACGCCATCGAGGCAGGTATCTGGAACGATCTGGGTTCAGGTAGCAACGTGGACGTGGCGGTCATCACAGAGGAGAAGACCACATTGATGAGGAACTACAAGACACCAAACACCAGACAGCCCAAGCAGAGGAACTACAGGTTCCAGCGGGGAACTACGGCGGTGCTGAACGAGAAGATCATCACAAAGGAGGAGATCAGCAAATACGTTACCGTACATGAGCTCAAGGATGGCGACGTAGCCGGAACAGCCGAGACGATGGACATAGATTCGTAGGGAGGGGTGTAGGTGACATGGCGTTACGAACATGAATGTGTACTATTACACCTAAACGGGGTTCAAGACGGACCACCTCAGCCGAATAGCTACAAGGCAATATGATGACGATCAATGAACATTTCAGACATGCAGAGCGAGTATCAAATGAGGACAATGTTCAGTCATGGCATCTTTTAAGTATTACGCTACCTAACAAAACAGAATGGATCCGAGGCCTTCATTGCAGGCAACATGTCGAGCATCTACGTCCTTTCCCATCGTGTACTCGTCGTCTATAAATTTTATTGTTCAACGACACCTCTTCTCGACAATGCCAGCACCATGCTCCTCGTACTCCTTCCTTGAAATCCACAGCTGGTGGAAGCTTCCCAGACTAGCCAGTATACTGCCGCCAATCCAGGCTGCGTACTTCCTCTCCACCACACTACCCGGTGCAATGAGCTTGTTCCTGGTGCTGGGGTAGATGGCATTGATTTCGTAGTTGAGGCGTTCGTTGAATTTGTAAAGGAGTGTTGAGCCACCCGTCACGACAATGTTGGACAGGAGAAGAGGGCGCTGGTCTGCGTCCACTTGTTGGACTGCGGCTTGGACAAGTCTTGGGATCGTCTGCTCGGGCTTCGGCGCGGGCATGGTTTCGCTAGCGAGCGCGGCGCTGTGGTCAAAGAGGCCTTCAGCGGCACGGAACCTCTCGATTCCAAAGACTTGGTTCCAGCCGTCGGGCATCTCAAAGGGTCGACCAGGCATGCTCTTTGCGAGTTCTTCGTTCGTGCTGAAGCGACCGGGGCCAGGCCAGACTTCTACAACCGACTCCTTGAAGGACGTGAGAATGCGCTCTTCTTCGTTCAGACGGAACGAGTCGGTGGGTGGCGTCTCGAAGGTCTTGTAAGTTGCTTGAGCGGGTTGGCCGGCGTCGACGGGCGTTTTGCTCTTGACCATGTAGTGTGGTGTCAGTGGTACTTCGGGCTGGGCTTGCTTGAATGACGTTCGTATCTGGTCGGAAACGAAGTTTCCTGCTAAAGGCGATTTCTGTACGCCCTTTCGCAGCACCATGCCATCGAGTACAGGAGTGACCGATGTATGCGACGCGCCAACGTCAATGATAATACCTGACGCTTTTCCCGATGCAAAAGCAGCCAATACACCTGTCTTTTGTAGGAAGAAAGCTGGCGTGCCCCAGTCCTCCATGGCAATCTCAATGTACTTTTCCCGTGCTTTTGCGCTGTTCCAGCCTGGTTCTGTGACGAGCAGCGGGCTGTCTTCCAGAGGCTTCTCGTTGTTCTCTAACGCGTCCATATCCACGTCCATACCCTCCCCGTTTTCGTTCTCGCCGTTTCCATCGTTCAGGCCGTTTTTCGTAGGGTCGGTCGCTTTTGCGCCGGTGAGTCGACTCGTAATCGCATACTCCCACAGCTTGGTCGCGGTATCCCAGTCCTCTACTATGCCATCCGAGCCCCAGTAATTCTTGATATCTAGGCCGCCGACCGGTGCATGTATCGCGTTCTCGCCAAAGAGGTGTTCGCCGGAGGAAGTCTGGCCGTAGAAGGAAGGGCAGACGGATTTGGGCACATCCTCGCCAGCGAATCCAGCGCGTACGGTCGAGTATCCGGGGTCCAGAACGATCGCGGAGACCTCATCTACACATATCAATCAGTATGCGCTGTGCGTGAAGCTTCGTGGAGCTTCACGTACCTCCAGCATATTCTCCCGCAGCTGGTGCGGTCGATGCGTTGGGGATGTTCATCGCGCGCGATTATCGGAATGCGCAAATCGTGGTAAAAGTTTGGTGGTATAGTCAGAGATTAATTGACGCGTGATTGTCTGTCTCTGGGACTGTTCGGGCGTTGTGGTTGGGGGGCCGGGTGCTGGTGTTGGAGCGTAGCTGTCGCCAGACGCGAACTCCAAAAGTTGAAGTCGAGGTTGCGGACCTGCCTGGCCTCTGTCACCGCACCTGTCCCCCGCGCCTCCACTCCGCATAAGTCAGCGACGTACATGCAGAGCCATTCAAACATCAGAAGATGAAAAGATAGTCTAGGTAACACAATGGTGCTCAATTTCATTCGCCAGCTCTACTCGCTGGACACCCTTGATACACGCTTCGTTGTTCCAGCCACCGCACCCCCGAAAGAGGCGCTCGAGGAGGCCAAACTTGATCCCGTGGGGCCAGTACCAGTCAAAGATGGTCGAGACGGGAGCAAGAACCCAGAAAACAGAAGCCATCCCCCACTATGGAACACACCGGAATTCTACTTCTACTACGTGGTCATTCTGACTAGCGTGTTCTTTATGTTCAAGTTGGTGCTAGATGTGTCTCAAGGTTCGTACAGCATAGCAGAAAGAGGGTAGATCATTCTGACTGTTTGTAGAATCTCACCCAAACTATCCAAAGTTCGACCATCTATTGTCTGATGGTTGGATTCCTGGACGCAAAGTGGTATGTCACATCACTAGCTATCACATGCCATAGGCTGACTTTCCAGGACAACACTGACGCTCAATATGGCGGTTTCCGTCAGAACATTCCCTATCTTTTCATCGTTGTTGTGCTTCATCCTATCTTGCGCAAGGCCTATGATTCGTTCTGGAGGGCCGACACATATACTCAAGTCCGCTCTTCATCAGCCATTGGAGGTCTTACCATGGGCTTGACTCCCAGTGCTGCAGCAGATGCCCGCATGAACCAACGCGTTTCCTTCGACCTTCTCTTTGCTGCCGTTTTCCTTGCTGCTCTGCATGGTTTTTCTGCGTTCAAGATCCTTGCCATTCTATATGCCAACTACTGTATCGGAACAAAGCTTCCGCGGCAGTATGTACCAGCTGCCACATGGATCTTCAATGTAGGCACTTTGTTTGCGAACGAGTTCTCGGACGGATACTCATACGCCAATATCCTCGGGGTTTTCCTCCCATCAACTGTGTCCGAGAAAGGCGAGCCAACATCCAACTTTGGTCACACTCTGGACAGCTACGGCGGTCTGATACCCCGTTGGGAAGTCCTTTTCAACTTCACCATTCTTCGCTTGATAAGCTTCAATCTTGACTATTACTGGAGTCTAAACACCCGCACTAGTAGTCCCCTTGAAGTACTTTACCCACCCTACCTTAGTTCGATATGGCTAATAACATCAAGAAGAAACAACTCGACCCTTCCAATCTCTCCGAGCGGGACCGAGTCACTATACCCGCTAAACCTACTGATTATACGTTCCGCAACTACTTCGCCTATGCCATGTACTCGCCTCTCTACCTCGCTGGGCCCATCATTACTTTCAATGACTACATCGCTCAATGCCGATACAAACCTCACAGCATCACTACCAAGCGAACCACCCTCTACCTTGTTCGTTTCATTGTTGTCTTGCTCACCATGGAAATCATGATTCATTACATGTACATGGTCGCCATCTTCCATGCCAGACCCGATTGGTCCCAGTACACACCAGCCCAGCTTAGTATGCTGGGTTTCTTCAACCTGAAGCACATTTGGCTCAAGCTTCTCATCCCATGGCGCTTTTTCCGTCTCTGGTCGCTGATGGATGGCATTGACCCTCCCGAGAACATGGTCAGATGCATGTCTGACAACTACTCCGTCATGTATTTTTGGCGTGGGTGGCACCGCAGCTTCAATAAGTGGAGTTTGAGATATCTCTATATCCCGCTGGGTGGTAACAGAGGCGAAGGCATGTGGGGCAAGGCAAGGTCAATTGGAAACTATCTCGCCGTGTTTACCTTCATAGCAATTTGGCACGACATTCAGCTTCGATTACTCATGTGGGGTTGGCTTGTCACGCTCTTCGTCCTCCCAGAGATTATCGCTTCATACATTTTCCCCGCGAGGAAGTGGAAAAATAGCCCGGATGCGTATCGCTGGCTATGCGGTGTTGGTGCTGTATTTGAGATCTTGATGCTCATGACAGCCAATCTCGTTGGCTTTGCGCTAGGAGTTGACGGCCTGAAGGACTTGGTTCGTGGCATTGTGGGGACATGGTCTGGCTGGATGTTCCTTGCTACGGCTTGTGGCGCGTTGTTCACCGGTGTGCAGTTTATGTTCGAATGGAGGGAGAGAGAGAAGAGGAGGGGAATCAAGATGAAGTGTTAGACTTCGGCGGTCTATTCGATTGGTTGTACAGATAGATGTTACTCGGGTTGCCCTTCTAGTACTACTCTCGGCTGGTGATCACCGCAGCTGATGCTTCACGTCTTTCGTGACATCTAGAGATATGCATAAGGCTCATGTTCTTCTCGACATCTTCCCAGCTTACATAGTGATACAGTACTTCGCGTCTTCTCCCTCTCCTAACTCTTAGCATATGTTTGCTTCCCGTCAAAGCACTCAGTATGTCTCACAAAGCAAGCAGCCTAGCTCCCGCTTGCTCACGTAGGACGGAATACAGGAAGCACCTTCGTTGTAAGCCATGTTATAACTTTTCTGTTGCTTGGTCCCGCTTCGGTGTTTGACAAGCACTGTTGCTCAGAGTTTGTGGTCGGTCACGGAGATATCATCAATCTCAATGTCGCATACAGTTGGTCAGCAACCGGACGCTTGTGTCTTCTCAACAGCTGTGCCAAAGACACCCATGAACGGGTCGAGGTAGTCACGAGTACAAAATGAGTAAGTAGTTCCAGTGACACGGCAAGCATAAAGACAGCCTCAGATCATTTAGCTGGATTTTATTTTTCGATACTCGAGAAACACTCAAATACTGTAAGTGAATCAGAGGGTAGCCAGTCTACTGAACTAGAGTGGTCGTGACTCTTGCGTGTGCGAACGAAAAAGACCGAGCAAAAAAAAAAAGGGCAAAAACAGAGTTTCGAACCCACGAAGGGTGAATGTTTTCCAAAGATTGAGTAAGTGCAGTGTTGTGCGGGACTCGCGGTCACTTCTGGTAAAAGGCAAGAAATGAGTTCGTACAAATCCTCGCACTGCACATTAACACTTCGCAAATGTTGGGTATATATAGTGAGCGAAGGTTATTGTTGATGCGTGCGAGGCTGGAGCCAGACAACGCTAATGGAAGCGAGGGCCAGTGCAGGCGGCGAAACCCACGGTCTGCAACGAACATCGAAGAGCTGGGCCTGCGGTGTTGCCTGTGCGGTCATCGCTCGAGTCGTGCGACTTGCTCCATTCGCGCAACTCTCGTGGTTCAACCTGTGGTCTTGTCGCGTCTCGAGTTGGCAGGTAGTCAACGCGCATTGAGGCACGGAAAGGGGTGGAGGAGGGGAGATGGTGTATGCCCCGCGCTTGATTTCTAGGAGGGTTGACAGCTTTGTGGCGGCACACGTGCCCCGTTATCAGGGTCGTTCTAGGCTGCAGGCCTACTTGTCCACATTTCAGTGCCCACCGACGACGTTTATAGATCATCTAACAAGAGAACGACACAGTCATTTGTTCGCAACGTATGCGTGGTTCATCGATGCGCATCCAGAAATCCTCACTTTACCTGTGAGTGATGCAGTCATGCCAGGCGTCGTCTCCAACTGGTTTCAAGTGCGTAACATCATCTGGTCTAGCTCTTTGATCTTTTGTTCTTTTTCCTTGGGACTGCATCTTCCACCTGCAAGCTCAAAAATCTTCAGAATGCTGTTGTCCAGTCACGACTTGTGAGCGCGCGTACAAACGACAGACATCTCGATTCAGTCTGAGTATCTGACAGCATCACTCTTAGATTCTCGCCTTCAGTAGTCTTCATTCAAGTCGCGATGCATTCCACAACACATCATTCCCTCTGTACTGTATCCCCTATTATCTCTTCGGACCGATTTCATTCTGTTTTCACTTTTCAGCAACAACCCACACAATCAATGGACTTACTGTCTTCTTGTTCTTCACGGACGAGAGACTAGTACCACACGCCAACGTCTCACTTGACAAAAGATTGATTGGAGCATTCACCGCAAATGGCAATACCAACAGACATTTTGCTTACAGCAAACATTTTACGTCCGCCACAGCACGATGGCATGCTCTCGAAGCTGTATGTGTGTACAAACAGACATGCAAACGTACAACCAGGTGGCCTGGCTTGGCGAATCTCGATCGTTTTCTGTCTTCATGTCTCTGTCCTTTATTTTTAATCCATTCACATTTCCATTAATATTCATGTATGGGCGTGTTGGCTTCGCTTCTTCATGACTTAATTCGATACGCAACTACATTTTTTCAGCATCCTAGTCCTGAGAAGCTACGTGCTCGCCAGACAAGCTCTGAATTATGCTGCCTGTTCTGACCTAAATTGTTTCCTTCTCCACTTGGTCCTACTCGTTGAGATGTTTGTAGTTCTGCGCCTGAGGCAGTTTGATGTTTCATCCCATGTTCCTTACTCCAAGTCCAGTCCGCGTTTCACCCCGCATCTCCTCATTAAAGGCAGTCGCGACCATAATATCTGGTCCCTGCAGAAAGATCTTCTTCGCTGTTTGTCGTCATTGCCCAAATGGCGCTGGTGCAGCCCGAAAGACGCTAGCGTAGGCAGGTACGAGTACCGATACAGCGCATAGTCGTCAACATCACCTGCTGCGCTTCCTCTTTCACGCCGGATACAGTCTCTACCGTTGCCTTTGGCTCGTGGCTTCTCACAATCGACCCTCTTCATTCCTTCAACTGCAGGCAGTCAGTCGCTCATTTCTCATAGCTATACCTGCGCTGCGCTTCACTCACCAAATCTCACCCAAACACTCCACAACATTCCCACAAACAGCACTTTTACGTTGTATATACAGCTCAGACATTCTATAACACTCGCTTCATCATCGCCATGAAGTCCATCGTTTTAGCGAGCGCTCTGGCAGCTGCCAGTCTTCTTGTGAGCTCTGCGAGCGGACGTCCTCTCAGTAAGTTGCAAGAGCGATTAGAAGCGTATCCTTTTCGTAACAAGCTATAGACCACAAACGTAAGCTCGTCACCGAGATGGTATATGTCACCGAGACGATCGCTGAAGCTATTGTCTACGTCGACGAGGCGGGCGCGCCTTATTGGACCACAACTTCGACGGTACTCACCAGTTCTCCCTCCGTAACTGTAGCCACATCTACAGCCGAGGCAGTGCTTTCGAGTTCAGGTCCAGCTCCCTCACTTACCTCGTTCGAATGGCCATCGTCTACACTCGTTTTACCTTCAGTGGAACCTACTGCTGTCGGTGCCCAGGATGCGACTACGACACAGGCGCCCCCTTCTACCACTTCCGAAGTATCATCTGCAGTGCCTGCCTCCACAAAAGAGCCTGAGCCCGTACCTCAGCCATCAGCTCCAGCTGATAATGTTCCTGTCGACAAGGCCGCTGCCGGTACCCTGCCTCTAGGCATAACTTGGGATGCCTACACTGGGTCCGCCAATTGCAAGAGTGCGGATCAACTCGCTAGTGAATTCAGTAAGATGAAGGACTACAAAGTGATCCGGATATACGGTATGGACTGCAACCAGATTCCGCTTGCAATTCAGAACGCCATCAAAAACGGTCAAAAGCTCATGGGCGGCGCATTTCTGGATACCAGCGGTGGCGGCGAAGACCTCGACCAGGTCATTCAGACCTACAAGAGCGCTATCGATCAGTATGCTGGCGGAAATTGGGATGTTCTCCAACTCTTCGCAGTCGAGAACGAGCGCGTCAATGAGCACAGAATGACATCCTCGCAAGTCGTTGACGCCATTGGTCGTGCTCGCACTCAGCTACAAAGCTTCGGTTACAACGGACTTGTGGGCGCAGTCGAGACTGCACCTGCTATGATGGACAATCCTGCTATCTGTGGAGCTGCAGATGTGGTCATGGTCAACATTCACGCCTTCTTCGACAGGAATACAAAGGCTCAGGATGCCGGTACGTTTGTCAAGAGCCAAGTTGAGCGTGTGAAATCCGCCTGCGATAACAAGCGTGTTGTCGTTACTGAGTCTGGTTGGCCTCGCGAAGGTAATGCCAATGGTGCGGCCATCCCCTCACCCGACAACCAGCGTATCGCTCTTGAATCGATCCGCTCCAATTTCAACAGCGACATGTTCCTTTTCAGCGCCTTCGACTCGGGCTGGAAGGCAGACTCTGCATCAACCTTCAACTCTGAGCGTTATTGGGGTGTGATCGATTAGCCGTGCTGAATGGAGCTACCACACATTGTTGGAAGGATATCGCGGATTGCATCTTGCGACATGCATCTTCCAACAAGCAAGTTTGCGCGCTCATCACTTTTGCCATCTTTCTTGCCGATGTACCTGCAGCCTAGTGCTACACAAGTGTGCGTGGAAGATCATTTCTGATGTTAACATCCTACAGGTATGGATACGAAAAACATGCGTCATGTAACATAGATAACATGATATCAAATGAATGAATGCTTCCAGATCAAGTATTTTACCAGACTTGTGTGTGTGCTACCTGTACAATGCTGCCATTTATGACTTTCGACGACGTGATACGTAATGCTTCACGCGTGGAGCATATAGACTCCAGATGTGGTATCTTTGTTCTTCTGCCTTCTGCTGGCTTCCATAATTTCCATTGTCATATCAACCTATCTAATACCCCAAATCTGTCGCCGTCTCTTCAAGTGCCTTGACGAGCCCATCTAGCGTCCCCTTGATCAACCCCCCATTAACCACGACTCTGAAGAACTTGCCCTTCTCCCCGGGGGCAAAGTCAATCATGAACCCTCTACTGATAAGTCTGTTGGCAATCTCAGTCGTTGCCTTACTATTGGCGTCCGCCTCATCCCCCAGGTTTCCTCCTTTGGCATAGTAAAAGCACACCTGCTGACACGGTAGCGGCTCCGGACTGATCGTCTTGAAGTTGCCGCTCTCCTTCAGTTTGCTCAAAAGATACTCTCCGTTCTGGTACCCACGGGCTACCAAGTCGCTGAAGTGCTGCGCACCGTAGTATTGAAGGGCCAGGAACATCTTGAGCGAGTCGGCGCGACGACCGCATTGAGGTGTTAGATCAGCAAGATCGTAGATGTCCGCTGCGTCGGTACCAGGTGCGTTGTGGAAGAGATAGCCAGCGGGTAGCGTAAGTGCGCGGTAGAAGGTGTTCATGTCGCGACCGAGAAGGAATGAACATGTCATGGGCACGCCGAGCATTTTGTGCGGGTTGATGGTTATACTGTCGGCGAGTTCAGCGCCCTTGAGGCGTGATTCGCGGTATTGGGCGTTGAAAACCACGCTTCCTCCCCAGCTGCCATCTATATGGAACCAGAGGTTTTGCTCTTTGCATATCTTGTTGAGAGCGGTGAAGGGGTCGAAGGAGCCAAGGACGGTGGTTCCGGCTGTTGCGTTTAGGAAAAAGGGTGTTTCGCCTCGGTCTTTGCTTTCTTTCACACAGCGTTCGAACTCGGAGGGAATGATACAGCCTCGATCGTCAACAGGGACAGAAATCACGTTCTTGGAACCGAGACCGAAGAGGTTGGCTGCTTTCTCGACCGAATAGTGACCGTGGGCTGATGTGAACATGGTGAATTTGTGGGATCCATTGCCGTCAGTTTTGGTCTCGGGGTAAAGGTTGTTGCGGGCAATCACTATGGCAGCGCTGTTTGATGCACTGCCGCCTGGTTGGGAGATGCCTCCTGAAGTAGAGGAGGGAAGGCCAAATAGTGAGGCTAGATACTTTGTAGTGCGTTTTTCAACAAGTGTTAGAACAGGTGAGACTTGGTATACGTGTGACTGATGATTGTTAGTCGTGCCGCCTTCATGGAATCTAGAGCGCAAAACGTACGTTGGTGTTCAATACCGCCAATAACAGCTCGCTGACTACTCCCACAGCATTTGTACTTGCGTACAGCTTATCCAGGAATCCTTGATCCCATGTGTTTACGGAGTACTTCAAAACACTTCCCACGAGCTTCACCAGCCCGTCTTTACCAGCTCTTTCATCCTTGATTTCCAGCTCTTCCTTGAGGATGGACTCGAGCTTCTTAGGTGGGTGATGCTCCACTAACGCGGTTCTAGGCCCGCCACCTTCGATCTTCAGTCCATGGCCTGTGTGTTTTGTCGCTGCGTCATCATCTGCGGAGCGAATAAAGGGTATTATCAGCTCTTGCACGGCGTCGAGAAGCTGTTCGTGTCATTAGCAGGTATCTCTATAGCTGACCTTGAACTTTGATTGGTATGTGATAATGTGATGATGAGCCATGTGACTTCAGGTGATTTCGGAATATTGTCGGAATGCACTTCCGAGGTACGTACGTCTTTGACTTCATCAGCGCGATTGAGTGGTTTTTCTTGCTGTGTGTGAGACATGTCGAGGTAAGTTTGCACGGGTTACGGGAAGGTGCACGAGTTTTGTCAAGGACGTGGGTTGTGTCAAAGTAGTGAGTTGTGTCGGTATTTAGATGTAAGACGACTGTAGAAGAAGTCACAGTCTACGAGGATTGCTAAAGAGATCGGCGTTATCGCCGACTTGGAATAATGACGAACATGGAGTCATCGATTGTGTCTACTCGGGGTATAAGCCCACATTCCTAACGCGAAAAGGTTCTCATGCAAATAAGCCACTAAAAGGTATCTAGAGTCGTCGAATCAGAAAAATGCGTACTCAGGACCCACCCTGCTTGAAAAACGCCGTTTTTACATGCCCATATGTTCAGGAACCGTGCTAAACATAGAAAATCCTTGTACGGAAACTTGATGAGACTGTTATTGCGCCGCAAGACTCTTTGCCTTGCTGCTTCCGCTGCTGCTTGTTGCTTGGCTCCCCTTCTTCGGCTTCTTGCCATCCTTCGCTTGCGCGGCCTTGGCAGCTGCGTGCTTTTGCCGTGCCAATTCGATGGCGGTCAAGTGTCTTCCCTGTCGATGGTTTTGTGGTGGTGTCGCATCGCCATTTGATTCTGGGAAGCTTTGGAAACCATCGTTACCGGCTGTGTAACGCGATTGTGTGACCCAGTCCCCGCGTTTGCGTTTGTATAGATCCATGCGCCAGTTTCGCCAGACTGCGCGACCTACGAAGGATTCGCGTAGCGAGTTCTCATTCTCGGCTAGCTCTTCAGCAATGCGCTCGCGGATAAAGGCAAGGCCAGCTGTACCGTGCCATATGGCGTCGATGACGTGAGACGCGGCAGGGTCGAGTGCAAGCTCACCAATCTTTCCATAGAACTGTTGTATCATTTTTCGTCGGAAGATGACGGACGCATTCTTGGACATCAAAGCTGCTTGCAGCGTCCGCGATGCTGTAGAGTCCCGGGCAAGCTGAACGGCGAGTTCAGGAGAAAGATTGGCGAGAGAATCAAAAACAAGCTGGCCAAGAGGTCCATCCACCGTCATCATGGTTTGTGCCAACAGCGAACCGTGTACCTTTTCCGGCGAATGCTCGTGTTTAGCACGGGGCTTGCCATCCTCCTCACTGAGCTTGAGAATACGTGTGACTTCAAAGCCATTGGAGCCAGCATATGCAGTCTCGAGCTGGGCTTTGATAGGCGAGCAGTCAATCTCTCGAGCCACGCATCGCTCGATGAGGGTCTTGATGACTCCTGTCCGACCGCGTTCTACCAGACTGGGAATTTGATCCACGATCTGGCGCATAGCCTCTTCTAGGTCGTCCTTTCCAAGTCGTTCCAAGATCTTCCCAACCACGTAGGCCGCAATCTCATTGCGTGCTAGCGTACCCATTCGCTCCTTGAAGAATTCTCCGTAGATGGCCTTGAAGACCTTTCCGGGCGCATTCTCGATGATGACTTCCAGTAGTCGGGAACCGATAGTGTCGTACACGAGCCCATTGATCAAGATGGCACTTTCCGTTCCCTCGGCGATAGGATTGTCGGGCAGGAGTCGGTGGATGATGGACTTTTCATCCTTGGCCCGCGACTTGCCAAAGTGGGAAAGTTCCAGCTTGAGCAACAGTTGTAGGGTGGGACTACCGAGTGGGTGTGTGGTAAGAGTGCGGAGGTAATGCGACTCGATACCGGAGACACTCTCGGTAATGACCTTCTCCAAAGCTTCCGAGAAGTTTTCAGGGACGGCTCTCTCTTCCAACAAACGTTCCTGCTCTTTCTCTGCGCCTGAGACGGTGACCTTTTCCTTCTTCTTGCTCTGCATGGCCGATTTGTTCTGTTTTTCTAGCGGAGCGCCCGACAAGATGACTAACAGCACGCGCAGTACATGCGACGCATATTTGTCCGTCATCAGGAAGCCCATGTAACCTTCCAGCTCGCCCAGCGTGTATAGGAACAGATTCTCCATGGAAACGAGGACTTGATCGGGGTCAGAAGACGGCGGCGTTTGAGGTTTCTCGGGTTTGGTGGCAGTCTCCTGGGTGACGACAGGCGCAGCTTGTATAAAGAGGGCTTCGCAGCAGTGGGAGGCAAATCGGTTCTGGACGAGGTTGAGGAAGCTGCGATGTGTTAGCATGTTGAATGCGGAAAGAGCGACGGCGCACATACTGGCCACTGAACTTCTGGAACAGGCCCTTGAGCTGGTCTGGCGAGGAGAGAAGAATGAGGCGCTCGAGCAGGCGCGACGTCTGGCTGTTCGCCATCTTCAGTTCCTTTCCGTCGGCCTCCCTCCAGACGCTGGCGAGGAAAATGTCGCGGTCTTCCGAGGTCTCGAATTGGTTCAGCTCGAGCATCTCGTCAGCCTTCTTGAAATATTCCTGCTCCTGCTCGTCGAGCATTCCATAGAAGGGCGTCGCATCCGGGCGGGCGACGTCTTGTTCGGCGACATGTTGCGCAGGGTTTTCAGCTTCGAGCTGGTCGATGTCTTCTTTTTTGAACCGCTTTGCGCTCGCATCGTCGTCGACGTCCCTCTTGCGCTTCTTCTGCTCCTCGCGGCGGCCGCGTTTCTTGTGTTCCTTGGGCATGGCGGCTGGCGATGACGGCAGCGGCGCAACACAAAAAAAGTTCGCAGCTGTCGGCTATTCGGCGGGGAGCAAGGTCTGCGGTGCTCTCGCTGCGGTGCAGGGCAGGACGGGCAGTAAATAGACTTGCGCGGAACAGGACCGCCGGAGCGTTTTGAGACAGCGGTACAGAGGTCTACGGGGGCGTAGGACACGGCAGTACTGGCATTAAGGATGTTCTCCAATAGTGGCCTGACGCACGGTTGGATCTCTTGGGATCTGGGAATCGCTGGGATGATCGATCGGGGACGCCACAAAATCGTGGGAGAGGCCGCACGAACCACCCAAACCCTCCTACCGACGTCGCCACAGCTGCGTAGCGACGTGCCTAGGCGCAGGCCAGCGCCCACGCATTTCACACATCGTACGAGATGGACGACAACCAGCAGACTCGCGTCGCCGACTTCCTCGACGACAAGCTCCAGAACGCAGGGGATCTCGGCGAGCTCGACGCCCTATTGGCCAACATCACCACCCAGCATGGCCTGCTCCGCCAGCAGCTCGACGACGCTCAGCGCGACCTACACACGGCCAAGGAGGCGTCGCACTCGCACCATGGCGACCTCACCCGGCGCGCCGACCACTTCAGGCAGGAGCAAGCCGACATTGACCGCCGCCTGATGGTCATCACCGCCTCGGAGACGAGTGACGATGCCGTGCCCCGCTTCCAACACGTCCTCGACACGCTGCACCGCCTGGATGTCGCCCACGGCTACGTCCAACTGCTGACCCAGGTCGACGACCTCAGGTAGGACATCCCCCCGTGTCTGCGACAGCCTCGTCCGCTCATCACTCGCAGCAAACAAGCCCAAGCGCAGCTCCAGACGTCCAACGAAGCCGCCCTCGCGCCCTACAAGCAGCTGCGCGCACTGCACACCCGCCTCGTCAACCTGCAAGACGACGCAGAGGGCGCTGCTCCCCAGCTGCTGCACCACGTCAACACCATCACCCACGCCCTGCGCACCAAGATCCTCGACGCCTTCTCCGCCGACCTCGACCGCACGCTCAAGAAGATACACTGGCCCACGCCCAAGGCGACTATCCCCAGCCAGCTGCAGGAGGAATGGGAGACCGCCATCGTGAAGCTGCTCGACCTGCAGCTTCCCGAGCTGCAAGGCATGAGCTATGCCAGCGGGCCGGGCGACAAGGTCAAACTCCCGCCCGTCCTCTTCCCAATTGAGGTGCTCGTGCAACCGCTCGAGATGCGCTTCCGCTATCACTTCGACGGTGACAAGCCCACCAATCGCATCGATAGGCCAGAGTACTTTCTCTCTCACATTACCACGCTTTTGAACGACTACAGCGCATTCGTTAGTGACCATGTGCAACCTGTCCTACTTCGTCACTTCCGGGGCACAAATCTCGCGCTTAACCCCGTCTACATCGACGCCATGTCCGCCTTCATAACCGCTCTACTGCCCATGTTGCGCTCCAAGATTGGCTCGCTACTGCCCAAGGTCGCAGGCCAGCCCCAGCTGCTGAGCCACCTCATGCACGAGATAATGAGCTTTGACACGACTATCAGAGACACTTGGGGATATGACGGCGGCTATGGCGTTGACGGATGGAAGGGCCTGTCATGGGAATTCCTTGTTCAGGGCGACTGGTTTGGCCGGTGGCTGCAGGTGGAAAAGGACTGTACGTTGACCTGCCGCCCGAGCTACATATCTCGGATCGCTAACATCCGGCAGTCGCACTGTCTCGCTATCAGAACATTGTCGAGGCTCCAGACTTTGGTGATCTCGACTACGAGAGCGTCGATCCCAAAGCCACCAAGCCCACCAAGGGAGCGATCCGCGTCAACGACCTGCTTGAAACCATAACGGGCATGTCCTCGCCTACCCCTCCTTTCCAGATCTATCGCTAATCCAAAATGCATTGCAGATCGATACAGACCCTTGACATCCTTCAGCCAGAAGCTCACTTTCCTGATAGACATTCAGATTGCCATTTTCGACAAACTCCATGAAAGGCTGCAGAGCAATCTGGAAGCCTACCTATCCATGACCACGTCACTGGGTCGCGCTATGGGCGGTGTGACCAAGGAGGAGCAGGAGAAGCTGCTTGGCGTCGAGGGACTGGAGCGCCTCTGCAAGACGTATGGTAGTGCTGACTACCTCGAACGGGCAATGCGTGACTGGAGTGACGATGTGGTAGGCTCTCACTCGCATGATCCTCGTACGACACGAACACTAGCTAACTCCTTGTTCCGCAGTTCTTCCTCGATATCTGGGAAGGTCTACAAGATCGTGCTCGTGGCCAGACTAGCAATATTGGTACCATGAGCGTTGCCGATGTGGCAGAACGCACGTCTAAAAACGTTGAAAGCGACGATGTCGATGGCGGCTCACTCTTTGACGAAACGGCATCGTGGTACGCGCGCCTCCGTGAACGTAGTGAGAAGATTATCATCGACACACTAAACAGTAACGTCCGTGAGGCGCTGCGTCCGTATCGGCACATGTACGTTTCCCTTTTTGGACCCTTGCACCGTTGGTCCAGAACTCCACATGCCTAAACCTACGTACTGACTTTGCTTTTTTCTCTTAAACAGCAACCCTTGGGCAACTCTTAGCGGCGCTTCCGCTTCAGCCTCGAACGCCACGGAACTCTCCCCGACTGCAGAAATCGACCCATTACTTAGTTACCTACGTAGCACGCTAGCGTTCCTCTCGCGCGCCCTAGCATCTGCGCCGCTGCGTCGCATTACTCGGGCCGTATTGACTACCATTTCGACCACGCTCTGGGAGAATGTGCTTAGTCGATATCGATTCTCCACGCAAGGTGCTGCCCAGCTCCATGCTGATCTGGCCGCTGTGTGCCGCGTCGTAGACAAGCACGTAGGTACAGGAGTTGCAGAAGCGGGTCTAGCAAAATGCCTTGAAGGCGTCAAAATCGTTGGGTTACCTGTAAAAGGTAATTCAGCCTCGCAGGTTGATACTGCAAAAGGTCGGGATGACGATGGTGGCGAGGAAGACGAGGACTGGGATACTGGGGCTTGGGACGCAGAAGACGGTGACGAGGTGCATGATGCTCCGCAAAAAGCAAATACCGCCCGCGGCACCGCGTCTGGGGTTGATGTAGGGGAACTGGGGCTGTGGGAGGTGGAGAGGCGTCTTTTTGCGGATAACCAATCTGCGAGGGATGTGCTCGAGGACTTGGGATTGGAGCTTCTGAGTGAGACGGAGGCGCGGGCATTGCTGAGAAGGAGGGTTGAGCTGGCTGGTTAGAGTTGTGGGTTTCCAGTTGATGCTTTTGAGGCGGTGGGATTCCCGGAAGGGTTCCGCGGATCAGTCATCATCCAATAGTTGAATTCCAGTCTGTCACAAAGGCATCTGTGGTGTTGAGTATGAACGGTGATGGATGCGTCCGATGTTAGAGCGCAACATACATGTGCCTGGCCAATAGCATAGCCTTGTCTCACTTGGTAACGCATACTAGTATGTGAAATTAACCTTTAGTTCCATTCCTGGGGTATCATGTCCATCTTCTCTGTTGGCTGCCCTTCCCACATCCGACTGCACACTACCCTCGCATGCTGCATTATTACTCAGCGCCGTGCTGACCCGACCAGACAACCAAGTCTCTTATCGCCTCCTCGTTCCCCGCACTTCAGAGGACCCGAGCAAATAACAGTCCACCTTAGTTGGAGTACTTGGGATTAACCTTCTTGCCAGTGACCTTCTCATAGGCCTTGCGCATGCCGTCGGTCTGTTTATTTCATTAGCTCCCTCTCAACACAACTGGCGCAGTCGAAATGGCCAAATGGGGGAGTGTAAGGGTACATACAATCTTCTCGCTCATGCCACGGTTCGCAGCAATCTTCTGACCTTGTGCGCCGCCGAACTTCTTGGCGCCTGCGTTGAAGGCCTTGTCGAGGTAGTCATCACCTCCCGCGGCACCGCCTTGGTTTGGGTTGTTCATATTGGCTTTGTTTTGGGAAATTTATGAAGTGTGTGTAGTGGTGATAGTGGATGTTGATTGTCGCGCGGATGAGTACTTTGTGTGGATGAAGACGGTATGTAAACAATGAAGTGAGTCAACTTGCAAGCTTGCGAAAAGGGCCGTGAGTTAGAGGCAAGCTCTTTATGCGCTTGCCAACGCTTCCCTCATCTGGACCCTTGTTCTGTGAAACCTTAAGTAGCCATCACTTATTCTTTTTCCTTATCGATTTGGAATCTGGGCCAATTGAACGCTCAGGCTAGTCACGAACATCGCACAGCCACTTTTCATGGTAGATGATAGAGCGTCTAGACCGCGGAGATTTGAGCGCGTGGTAGGACTGCGCCTCTCATGACGTCTCGTTCGCTGTCTGTCAGCTCACCTTGACAATTGTCTCACGTACGCTCACTTGCGCTGTTGCCATGATAAGCCGGATGCATACCAGAAATGGTTGCAGGACTACGTATAGTGCATCGTCTGCGTCTTAGCTCAATCGTGCAGAGGACTTGGCTTTTCGGGCCGCTGAAGCTTGGTTTATTGGGAATATGCAGCTTACGAAAAATCAAACGCGCGAACGTGACACTGTAGTATGGGTGAATAGAGCAAAGGATGTGATGCCGCGCAGAAAGAGCGAACGGCTGCGTGTAGGCGGTGTGACATGACGTCATGGGTGTCATCACACTCTGATGCATGTGAAAGATCAAACGTCAAGTGAGAAATCGTCAAGCTTCATTACGGGTCGTAAATACATATTCAAATGTTCATCAATGGGCCGTCCCAACCGGTTGTCGTTGCACTCCCTGTTGCTGGAATTCTCGATGGCCGGCGTCCTGCTCATCGAAACTCTGCCTTAGCGGAACAGCCACCCCATTGATCCTCTCAAGGTAAGGTCGACACTTGTTCCACTTTTCATCCAACTTGTGCATCCTTTCTTTGAACGTCAAATGCTCCTTAGTTGGAGAACTTGTCGGGGACGTCCTTGCCGGTTGCTTTTTCGAACATGTTACGAGCGCCATCGGTCTGCAGAAATGTTAGTGCTTGAACCTTATACAGCTTGGAAGTTGCTAAGATTGAAGCATACAATCTTCTCGTTAACGCCCCGATTCTTCTCAGTATCTTGACCCGCGGCGCCCCCGAACTTCTTTTCAGCGGCGTCGAGACCCTTGTCGAGGTAGTCTTCCCGCTGTGCTTGGTTCTGCTGAACACCCGTCGTCGATGTATCGTTGCTGGTTGGTTCTTGCGAGGCATTTCCTGGAATGGAGTTCATCTTGTCTTATGCGTGTGAAGTGTGTGGAAAGCTAAAAGGTCTGAATGACGAGTATAAGCAGGAGATTCGTACGATCCAGGGTCTGAGTCTTACAAGACGGATTATCCGGATCGCAACGTAAGTCTAATGTGGCTAAGTGGTGTAGTGATTACTGTAGCGTGAGTTGAAGCGTGTAATGATGGCGCCACGGGGTCATCAAGTTCTTTAAGTAGGACCTCTGACTTCACATAGGAAGCAGCGGGATACGATTCTGGAACTCGTCATGGTGAATCACCAGCCACATCAGACGAGCGCAACTGCCCTATCAGCAGCCTTGCATATCCCTAATCATGCGATCCTCTATCTTGGGTCGTTTGCCAACCTTCAAAAACTTGGCTTTCGGGCACTTAAACTTGGCTTTGGCCCTGACGCCGCGTGGGCTACGGGTATAACAACCTTTATCTATTGAGTTTGAGAAATCGCTCCTATCAAATAACACGGAGACATAACTTCTCGTAATATTCTATCACTGGTTCCGGAAGCGCTCTGTACAAGCGCTGTTCGACGATCTCGGATGCCTATGACATCACATCGCCCAATTCAAGGAGACTTTACCCGGTATGACGCAGCGTAAAGTAGCTTGATCTGCAAAATCTCGATGCTTCTCGATGGTTGTCTATTCAAGACTGGGACCGAAAAGCGGAACGAGAGATGTGGGTCAGCTTTGCGTGTCGTGCATGATGCGGAGACGGTGGTGGAGCGAGCAGGCATTAGCGATTTTGTTGAAAGGATTCTTTCACGGCAGGTGAGCCGTGGAACTCGGTGTATCTGTATCGTGAGGTCGTGTGTCTGTTTGACCGAGCTGTAGTACACCTGCATTTGAGAATGCTCTTACTCGAAGCTTCCGCCTGGGCTGCCTCAGCCTCGCACATGCCTGCGCTTAACCAAAAAGAGCACGCACCACGTTTGCTCGTCTGCCTCGTCTGCTTTGGGGCGCGTCTGCCTGGAGAGAGGTGTCTGTGATGGGTTGATATCTCTCACTCTCAAATGTCACCCGCTTGGATTAAAGATCCAGAGAACATGTCTACCTTTACCTCCACTCGCTAGTGCCACGATATTGTCATACAAATTCGCATACTGAATGCGTGAAATGGAACAGTACCTCAAGCAAACACGCAATACACGTCAAACTAACATGTGAATGGCATTGTACACATTCGTTCTACAAACAAGCTAGACCACCATCACCTAATTCATCACGGCCATCACGCCATCGATTTCATGATCATGTCTTAACGCGATCATCACATGGTATCCTCACCATCATCCCCAGTTCTTCGCCCCAAAACGCCGTTGTGAAGTTGAGTCCACGTCTCTAATGTGTAAGAGAAGCCTGGGTATCTCGAAAAGGGTATAAAGCTACTTCGGCTTCGACGACTCTACGCGGCGAAGCTAGACAAGAACGTCTTTGAAGTAATCGCACCTGACCCAACGCCTGTACTCAAACGCACAATGTAACGGACAACGAAGACGCTATAACGCACGACAAAAAGTGACAAATAAGACATGCAAAGAAGAGGAAAGAAAACGTATCAGCGGAGCAAAGCAACGGAAGAGAAGCGATCATCCGAACTGCTTAATGAGGGAGTGCAGAAGATGGCAGAAGAGGCCATGAAGGTCCACGAAGAAATTCTCCTGGCCAACGATCTCGACGAGACTCTTTGCCTTCATCACATCGCGAGAGACACGAGGAAAGCCATCCGGGTCGACCTTCTTCGCAGACAGGAAGGAGGAGACGGGTGTGATGTTGCGGAAGTTGGGTGTGCTTGCCGTGGAAAAGGTTCGTTCCTTGTGGCCCGAGGAAAAGTTTGGAGGCATTGAAGAGGCGGAAGTTCCAAGGGGAGGCGTGCTGCCGGAGATTGCTGTGGTCGGACGTGAAAGACTGTGCGATGCTGCGCTTTCGCGCTCAAGGACTCTGTCGGCCAGGGAGATGATGCGGTTGGCGATACCTTCGAATGCCTCGATGATCTTGACCATGGCCTTGGTGGCTCTCCGGTAGTCGCGACCAGCCATGGCAATAAAGGCGTAGGTGCGCTTAGCTCCTCGCGAACGCGGGTCCTGCAGACGGAAGACGTAGGCAATGGTGTAGCCGGCAACCGAATCTCCAAACATGATGGGGCCCGAAGGCTTACTGAGAGGAAGGACTTCGGTAGACAAGGTACGAATGCAGGTGCGGCGCAGGAGCGAGTAGGTGCTGGGCGACTGCGGCTGACTGGTGGAGATGTAGTTCAGTGTGTGGGTGTGTATGCCCCTCGACACGAGCATTGGCGAGGGAGGTATGGAGTCTGGGAAGGAGCTGGATGCGCCGCTCTGGAAAGAAGTCGACTGCTCTGTATCGGAGACATCGGAGGAATCAGTGCTACTGACATCGTCACGGGAGATGGGTCGTCGCACTGGGTAGTTCTGGGAGCTACGCAGCACAGGACTACCGTTCCTTCCTCGTCCGTCCTTGGTGGGACTGCCAGGGGCGCCGTTGGGGATCTTGTCGCTGTACTTCTGGGGCACTACCATCTGGCAGTTCTCACACGCGTCCGAGTCGGAGTCGATGGTGCTGCTAGGTCTCCTTCCGCCGAAACTACCGGCAGAGGAAGAGGGCAAGCTTGGAAAGTAGGGGTTGTGCGTGGGGGAGCGCGGGCTGTTGGGCGGGGAGTCGAAGGGCGAGGTGAGCTGTGGTAGGCGCGGGTTAAGCTTGAGGGTTGTGGGCTGATCGTACAGGCCGTTGTAGGAGTAGGCCGCGTGCGGCTCTTCGGAGGGCGGCGTGACGCATGGGTTGCAGGAGCCGCAGGGCGAGGTCGAGGCCTGGGTGCAGATGATGGATGTCGGACCGTGGGTCTCGCAAAAGTGTGCGAGGGAGATCTGGAGGGCTGCGTTAGACGGGCTCGTGTGCCGAGTCTGGGGGTGCGCCGACGAGTATAAGCGCGCGGGTACTTACCGTAAAGTCCATGGTTCCTGCTCTCTGTCTTATCTCTCTATCGTCTCATGGTGTTCGCTGTGTGTCGTGGTGGGTCGGAGATGGTGGCTCAGCTGACAGTGGGTGGCCCAGAGGGGAGTAGTTGCCGCGCTGCTCGGGTCTGCGGTGCTCTGGTGTGGTGCTCGTTGGGCTGTGAGTGGTGAAAGCAAGACGTCTCAAGACACAGATGGGGTGGCAAGGTCGCGTGGTGCCGTGGCTGGAGGTGTTGAGTGGCACTCGGATGGGGAATTCGTGGTCTTGGTCGCAAACGTTGGGCCGGGGCTGTTGGCAAAGGGTTATATGGAACGGGCTGAAAGGGCAGCGCTAGGACTCGACTGGCTTTCTGCACGGCATGGAACTGCCATGGAGACGATGGAGGCACGCTGCACGCATGGCGCCGAGGACCTGGCGACTCTAGCTCCCATACTGGCGACGATTCCTGGGAGCAATTACGGGGGGCGCGGACCAGCATCTTTGCAAGAGCCGACGCTACTGCGACCAGGGTGAATGCGGGCTGTTGTTGCGGTCAGTATCAGCAGCGCGCTATTGGCCGCCCAGCCACAACACGTCTTTACCAGACAACACACACTTGCCGTGTAGAGGCATGCAGAGACGCAGACATGGCAGATGGTGTGACGCGGGCTCTGTGCAGCCTGCGTGCCTTGGACGGTGCGACGTGTGATGGCGGATCGCATATGGCATCTGTCTGTCTGTCCCCGACGCACA